ATCTTCGCGGTCTGTTGTTCTACGGCGGCGTCAAGTGCCCCTTGCTCTTTGCGTACGGCCTTCTCGAAGCCATGCCTGACAACACCTAACCACAGTGGCTACACTTCTTTGCACTCTAACTGCAATTGCCCGAAAAGAAAGTCCAGCTTCCCAAAGTCCCACTATACGGCCCCTATCAAACTCATTAAGTTGACGAAATCGTACAGGTCTCCGTACTCTAGGCATCGTAACCGATCGTAAAGGATGTAAAGAACCAAAATCCGCCACGTTGATTCTTTACTGCGGCTGAAATATTCATTTTTAGAGCGTTAGTGAATAAAAAAAAAGCAGTATAAAAACCGGAATGTCCAACTGATAAGGCTGAAAATTGTTTCACTTGTTATTTACAGTAAGATAAATACATTCACCAACTTTTATTAAAATAAAACCATTTAAACTGGGTGTTCGGATTTATGTCACTTAGTATATATTGGACTACATTCATAAGATTCTTGGCAACATCAAGATTTCAATAACGAAAAATAAATTTTAGATTCCTACAAACAAGGCTTTATCTTTAGTCGTTTATTTTTCTTTGCAAAAAGATTTTGACGTTGCTCCAAAATGCGTAAGAACTAGAAAACGTACGAGATAAAGAGTTCAAACAAAAGGGTGGACGATAATAAAAATGTTTTTGACGAAGATTTTACCTAAGCCAAGGTTACCGTAAAGTGGACAATGGGATTAACACGGATTTTAACGCTGTCATGTCAAACAACAATTAAATACAGAAGCTTCATATGATAAGCGAAAGAGTATTTATTTTATACAGATCCCGCACTTAAAGCTAAACAAAAGTATGTGCGTGTGACGTAAAAGTCGTTTGAAATTAAAATAAACAAAATAATAGTATAGCTACTTATACGTCAGTGAATCTGAGATATCTAGATTACAATGTCGTTCTAGGATATAAGATAATCATCGACACATGTCTGACATTGAACTTACGTATATGAAATTAATGTACAATGCCCGGTATAACACTTATCACAAATCTATGATCAAGATTAGAGGTATCAACATGACAAAGTCTATTTTACGTACTCACGTGACTTAATGGCGATAGAGCAATGATCAAGATAGAAGTTTCTTTGATCAGGCATATACTAAATGACATAGCAAATGCAACACCGACTAGGAGTGCTGTAATTTTGAGCATACTTCACCAAGTTTTAGGTCTACCCTCATTTGACACAAACATATTTATTTGCACTGGGTTTATGAAACCAAGCTAACCAGGTTAAAGTGGACGTTATTTTAGATAAAATTGTAATAACCTGTTTTACAATGGAATCATATTCGTTAGTGTACATACATCATCGAGAGATACAACACACTTTGCAGCTAGGTATATTTTCTTATATAACGTCAGAGTTGGAAAAGATGTTCGTCTTTATTCAAATAGTAATGAATTATTGGTGTAAGTGGTCCAAAAAAAGTACTAAACTGTATCCATCGAAGAAACAAAGTAAAATCAAACATATACACCCATATTGCACGTGATCAAGAACTTAACCGTAGGAGACGCTACAGGGCCGTATCAAGCTATTGTGACTGATCTATCAAAAAATGTCGTACAAGATATGTGTTGCTGTAAATTCTATCAAAAGCATAGTAAATTATCAGGAATATACCACGCCTTTCTAATCATATTTCGACATTAGGAATCAGTGCAAAAAATTCTGTATTCACCATTTCAGCAAAATGTTACTAAAACGCACACGAGAAAAACTTGTGGACCATCTCAATTGAAATTGTTCATATTTTATTATTAACTTACATATATACCCAATAATATTTACAAATAAACCTTCTATTCACAATGCAGAGCAAATTTTTTTGAGCAAATAGAAACTACAGACGTAGTAGTAGTAGTACAAAAGTTTATTACAGACTCCATAAAGTTTGTTAGTTTGATTGCTATTTAAATTTACATGAGAAATAGGAAGAAGGTCAAAATGGCACTATTATGCTTTGGAACTCCTAAATTAACCCTAATTTTGTGTAATTATAAATTTGGAATTTCCACATTAATAACTAGAAACTTACACTTTGATTGTAGTGTATTCCGAGGAGCTTGAATCATCAGAATTGTTGATGTCAATTATAAGGGGTTCAACTTGGGTGTCAATGATATTGTCCATATCCCACATTTTGGTTTCAACCTTCTCTTGGACATGGTCAATACATGTTCTCCATTTTGCTGGCGTAATTCTATCGACAGCAACATCAAACAGTTTTTTAAGGTCAGAAAACTTAAAAGTGCTGTTATTTGACGCCACGTATTGCTTGATGTCGGCCCAAATCAACTCGATAGGATTCAGTTCGCAGTGATAGGGAGGCAGCCTGAGAATAGTTTTATTTTGGTTTTTGGCCATTTCGTCAACAATTTTTAAATCATATTTATACTTATGTCGCTTGACTATATTTATCAGCTCAGCTTTGACCATTGTTTGGTCGAAGTCGATCTTCTTTGAGACAAGCCACTGTTGAATGTCTGCCTTTTTGGTGGCCATTGTTGGAATTTTTTCCAATTTTCTGGAGTGGTACGGGGCATTATCCATCACAATAATTGCGTTATCATCAAGTGTCGGCAAAATTTTTTTGAACCAATTTTCAAATGAGTTACCATCCATTTCTTCGTGATAGTCTCCAGTTTTTTTGGATTCAAATGCCCACAATGCTTCAGGAACAAATCCATCTACGCTACCTATGTGGCAAATGATCAGGCGTTTTCCCTTGCCTGAAAGTAATTAGTTATTTTACTTCTCAGCGAGCGCACTAAATGACGAAATTAAGCAACTTACTCTTTTTAGGTTAGTGTAGGATAGGGTCTTAGATTAGTTTTTGGGTGAAGGAAATACTCAGAAACTTGGATGAGATAGCAAAACTGAGTTCGGAGCTTCCAAATCATTGATTCGATCAGAAAATTAATTATCTGCATCCAAAAAAGTTCATATACTTCGAAACTTACCTGCAGGATTTTTCAATCCCGTCGAAAGGCCATCTAAAAAAGCCTGCCTTGAGGACCTCACAGATCTGTCTACCCAAACCTTTCCCTGCGTATGCCCCGCGTTCACCCATGTTTCGTCTAAATAATAAATTTTTCTTCCTTCAGCGCGGAATTGCCTAATTTTTCTAAGGTATTCTCTCCTCCAGATAACAATTTCCTCCTTTCCTATCAATAAACTATTCCTTCCTCTTTTCAAAAATCGAAAATCTAGTTCTTTCAACAGCTTATGGAACGTAGATCTTTTAAAATTTGGCAGGTCCTCATCATCATTCACTTGCTTCAATATTTTATCTATTGTAGGTATTTCATTCCTGAAGAAAAAGTGATGTACTTTTCTTCCATGGCACTTTTGTCAAAATCATCTATTTTTTCGATGATTTTTTTTCTCTTTGGATATGTTTTTGGCTCAGATAGTGAGTGATTTTGTCTATATTCCTTCAAGATTTTGTAAACACTTGATCGACTTACTCCAGAAATTTCAGCAACCTTACATACGATATTTTCTATAGCCAATCCACTATTCTCTTGCATCTGGTTCTTGTAGATATTTAGAATAATTTGTTTTTCACCTGCGCTAAGATGAAGCTTTTTAGCCCTTTTTCTGGGTGACGTTAAGCTGATTTCAACCACTTCATCAGCTGTATCTGTGTCAGACATTTTAGACTAATATTAAATTTCCGCAAGAAAAATCAAGTCAAAACGTGCATAAAACGTTCGCGCTCATAAACGGGTATCCGTAACTGATTACAATCCTGTGCGTGGTGACGAATCATCAACGTGACGCTGAGAGTTCCCTCTACTATGCAGCGTTGCCAGGCTTAATGTCACAATGATCATGTTTTATTGGGAAAATTGTCAGAAATCGCCGAATGTTGAACAGAAACATTACAAGAAGTCTAACCTTGAAATGTGAGGCTACAAATCGATATTCTTATAGGGGGGAAGGGTAGGGAGCTGTTATGGTTCCTATTAATCTTGGTGAAAGTTGGAAACGGTAATATCATATATGGCATACATTCGGTTGAAGGTGTGTGCACGGAAAATAGATTGCGGATAGGATTTTAATAGATAAATCTGCACAAAAAAACACAAAAGGAGATTTTTGTATTTCCCTGAAGAATATCTCAAGGTTATTTCAGATGTACTCATCGAAACTTTATGGAAGGATTATCGAAACCTTATTTTCAATTGCGATAGGGCCACATACCTCGACATCGCATTAATGTGAAAAATAAGACAATAGAAAAAAATTCCCTCACTGATGCTATCTCTTAGGAAACATTTAACTATAAAGATTGCACAAAAATTTTCTTCACCTTTTTGAGCTTGTTTTTGCATCTCCGTATATGCCGTTCATAATTTGCTGCAGATCAAATTGGAATATACCTTTGTGATGCCATTTATTGTTATATAATGTCCTTTACAACAGTTATTGCACGTATTGCACCAACAGATTGATTTGTGATCCATGCGAATGTGATCAACCACTCTGGCGAAAACTCGTCGAGCGTGGCAACCGTGCGACTTTGTCTGGAGGCTCGTCGCTACAAGCCAATCAGGAAGAGGCCGACCGAGCGCCATGGCTACCGATCACGCGTTGATCACGAATCAACCACTGTTTACGATTACTTTGTAGCTTCGTTAGATACACTTTAAGTGCTGAAAATACCTTCAACATAATACCTTACGCAGCCAATTTGCTGCAACAAAAACAACAAATCCCCGATTTCATATATTTATTTTTTACCAGAATCGTCATTTGGGCTTCTGCAAATAATTAATTATGAATGTTTTTGAGAAACGTGACCTTTAGATCAGCCAAATAGCCTCATACTGGGCTCATGTCCTTGCTAGAGACATCATATTGAAAGATATACCAGATTCTCTGATACTAACCATACTTTGGACATTTCTGACTTATCAACTGACCTGAATCTCTTTGTTACAGGTGGATAGTAGCGAAAAACTAGCCGAATACTGCGGATTTTCCTCAAAATCCTGCAACTGCGCCATGATTCTGAGGGACGACACCGAACCCGTCACACCTGAAGAGGACCCGCCTATGTCACCCACAGAAAGGATCCTAGCCGATTTTTACGAGTGCACTCTGCAAGAATTTCCAAGACCTGTCATCCAGCTGCCCAGATGAACCGACGTGGATTAGCTCCATTTTGAAAGTAATCCTGGGAAAGGATTCAATGGAAAAGTCTTTAAAACGCGATAGTTGCTTTGAGGTTATGCGAGTTATGCCGCGAAGGCGATATGTGCATTGTGGGTTGCATATGCTGTGACGGTAGATCGGAAAGGTCTAAGATGGCAGTGTAGAGACAGTATAAGTGATATATTTTTATTTTTGAGGTTAAAATAATGTATATGGTTGTAGGTCGGTTGCAAAGTCTACATTTGTGCGCTTGAGCGGTGAGTGATTTTGATCATTTTGAAATCGAGGGTTTTTGTGTTGGTTTTTGGCACACTAACTTGTACTTTACGACATATTTATGAGAATTTAAATAATTATAAAGTTTGTGCATCTTCATGAATTTTCTTGTGAATTGACTTGCTTTGTATTTTCATCAGCTTTGATGTTCTTCCATCAAATGGAACAATTTTTCTTGAAAAATTATAACTGTTTATGATGCGCATAGTAGAAAATATTGTGATAGGTAATATAAAACTTGAAACTTTCATGATTAGTGAAGAATATTTAAAATAACATTTATTTACAAGAATCTATTATAAAATAATATTACTGTTGTATAGAGATGTATTACATATATTGGAATGATTGTTATTATATATTTTTGTATTGTTGAATTTATTGTGTGAGAATTGTTAACAAAATAAATAGAAAATAGATATTAATTGTCGTTTTTATTAGCACCGACTTTTGTCCTCATAGGGTATCTGTTATCAGTGGCGTTTGAAAAAAATCATGGGATTGTACGTCTGACTTTTTCACACAAATATTTATCCATATTTCTCCATACGGTACAAAATGACTATAAAAGCTTTAGAAGAAAGGAAAGAAAAAATATCGTCAATTTGAGTCCCCTGGGGAAAAAGTCAGTTACGAACATGTAAACGGATTGTCATATTCACATATCAAAGAAAACACGAGGTGTTTAAACATGAAAATGAATTACTCGTAAAATGATAATAAATTAACAATTTGAAATTAAACAATACAGAAAAGCAATTAAAAAAGACAATCGCACATTAAAAAATCTTCTATGTAGAACTAAGGTGCGTTTTGACGTAAATCAATATATTGAATATGTATAGTGAAGGCTGCGTTAATATCTTCAATGTTGTGATTAACTTGCAACTAAAGCGCCTTCCCACCTGTCAAATAATTCTAATTGCTCTTTTTTCTATTATCTGGCAACGTTGTCCCTTTCCGCATCCGAGCGGCACCCTTGCAGCGAGTTAACCTTCAGGTCGAAAACATTTCTCTCATTCTAAATGTCAAAGCCGGGAATCTATAATGTGGCAAAAACAAAAAATTTCTGAAACTTCAAAAAACGAAGTTTGAGCGATTTTTATTTTTTCGTTTTTTACTTTTTTCCATGCCGCCACTGGACCAAATGTTCATCGTTTATAATTCGTTAATTCATATCTTCACAAAATTGTAATCGCCGATCAAAATCGTCTTCATTAAGTTCTTGTACCAGGTGAATTTTATACGGGTGAAAACTATGGGCCTTTAGAATCCGTTGGACAGTACGTCGACTAACACCACACACAGTCTCCAATTTGGGGGTACTTAACGTAGGATCTACATAAACTTGCCCTAAAACCCCCACTTCTATTGCTTCGTTCCTTATGGGATTTTCAATGTTACGTTTTTTATTGGCGACTGATCCAGTTTCCCGAAATTTAGCTGCAAGTTCTAGATTCTAGAACATATTTTCGATGCACGTTACTGTTCTCATGTCGCTCATTAAATATTTCTGCTGTTCTATTAGCGCACTGATTATTTCCGAAAAATATTTCGATAATTTCAACTCTTTCTGATGTGGAATATACCATGGTTAATTTATGTAATAAAGCGTTACAAGTTATTTTAGCAACAAATTTTGGTCAAATCAATCGCAAACTATGTAGTAAATTCCTATTTAAAATAAGTTCGAGATATTTCCTTATCTTTTTTCAAAAAATAACTTCTTTGCCACAAAAAAACGCTCCAATAGCTATTTTCAACAACAAAATGATAAACAAACCATGGGCGTAGTGAAGAAAAGCATTTACTTATTAAGTAAATTCTTTTAGTCAAATTTCTTCTGAAAGTAGTACAAACTAATCTGATGTACCTATTAAAGTCTACTTTAAGCTTTAAATCAATAAATCTTCAAAACTACTGAACTGAAGCTCATGTATTTTACATCATTATAAAGAGAATTGAAAGACCTATAAAATAAGGTATCACTCGACCCCCCTTTCCATTTAAGATTTCAGGGTTGGTGTCACCCCCGCCCAGGGGGCTGTACGTGTTAACGTGATTTTTTGCCAAACTTGTGTCCCCCTCGAAAACAAAATCGACTGGTCTGAGCGTTTTTCCAAAAAAAAAACTGAGCTGCCAGTAAATGCGTCTGTTTCATTTTCGATGCGCCACCCTGTATGTGGGAAATACTAATTCACTTTTCGAATCATTTTATCATATTGTCAAAAACGAATAACGGAAATACCAATCTAATTTCTGCGCACTCGCTTGAAAATAACCAATCAATCATAATGTGACTGTTCTGTTGACAAATCAGACGAAACACATTATAAATTGATAAACGATAGGGTATCAAGAATTGGGAATTTTCGGCTAATTATTTTCAGAACGTCACTAGTCACCAAACTTAACAGTAGGTAAATTAAAAATTTCTCAGTGTACGTTCAATGACGCTGGCGTATCCAAAAAAAAGTTGTGGAAAGGATGTCTAAAAATTTATCCGAGATGAAATGAGACATCGTAGCGCCCTCTATATAGATTAGAAAAATTAGAAGTCTACTTTGAAGCCTCACTATAATATGAGCATACAGGGTGATTCACAAGTCGTGACCAAAAATGAAACTTCATACAAAGGACCGCATTTTAAGGGGGGTCTTCTCTAAGAATTAATAATCTGGACAGGCTTACGTAGCTTTAAGTCGAGGAATATCATTAAATGGTATTCTAATAGAAGAACGTAATTGCTCGAAGTTAACAGGGGAAAATTGAATTTTGATTTATTGTCAAATATAAAATGTACCAAAAATCGAAGCTCTTGGTTATACGTACTTTTGCTGTCGCTTTGAGACTAAAAATTCAGAAAATAATTTATAGTTTGAAAAAACTAAAAAAACATGCTATTAAAAAATCTAACTAAATAGTAGAAAATAATTTTCAAGTATATATGAGAGATATTAAGAAAAAATTGAGTTAGTTAAAAAGCGTGAGGTGAATTTAACTATATTTTCATACTAACTCCAGTTTTGTAAATATCAATTAAAAAAATAATTCAAAAATTTAATTTCAAGCACCACACTTTTTTAATTTAATTGAATGTTTTGTTAATTTCTTAACTTTTAGTTATACTTAATTGTGACTTTCTATAGTAGCTATACAAACTCTCCTGTACTTGAAAATTATTGTCTACTTTTTATTTCGATTTGCTATTAAGACACATTTTTTATTTTTTTTATCTATAATTTATCTACGTAATAGCCCTGCGGGAGGATAGACAAAGACGTTTACTCTCCACGCATCATCAATTTAATGAATAGTTGCTAATTAGGGAAAATCAAAAGTTCCAGTAAAAAACCCACCAAAATGCTGGTACTATTCAATATTCAAAATGACAGAAAATTCCCCGTTCAGGGCTATTCCCTTGTCAACCAGCAGAATCAAAGTTCTCATTCTGTATGCAAAACTCTTCCACGGAGTTCTCGGAATACAGATTCCATGCATCGACCCATTATCCGGTTCCGGTAAAATCCGAATTGAAATTGACACTGAAATATGGCATGGTATCGATCAGAATTTTCGGGAAAACCCGCATCCGAGAAGCGGAGAGCCATTTGGCCTACATTCACGATACCAAGAAGTGAGATCGATAAATATCAGTTTGTTCATAGTCCAGTTGCTCCGGCGGTGTATACAGGGTGTCCAAGATAAGAACCCTATGGATGGGGATCCCAATACCTGTGAACTTAGGTTAAATTAGAAAAAAGCTGCCATCTTTGGGGCGGATTTACACAAGGTTTACTGAGATATTTGGGAAAAACTAAAATTTGGCCAAATCGTTCTATTTTTTTTTTACTTTATTTCAAGAAACGTCGTTGTTTGAGCCGTGTCATACTTCAAGAGGGTCAAGTGTAAACAACTTTGTCGCTAAATAAACGAATTAAATAGAAAATCCAAAACTCCTCATAGCTATGCCTAAAAATTGGTAGATCAGGCAACATTGGCTATCCTGTCAATTTCGAGGCACAAAACAATTCCGAATCCGTTACAACACCTTTTACAGTCCAGAAACGATTCTAGAACCGCGACAGGCCGCGCATGCGTGGGACAAGGCTAATGTATCACATGTTACCTTTGTTTTTTAAGTTATAAATAAATGTGTTTTTTTATTTTATTTAAGTATGCGTTGCAAACAAATGCTTGATGTAACATTATATGATTACTGATAGATGTATGTTACGTATTACATAATGATATAATGGGGTAAATGATGGTGAATCTAGGGATATTCAAAATAACGAATACATTTTTAATATTAATTTTATGTTATTCACAACGCTGACGAAGATCTTGAATGGAATCTGGCTTCGTACTAAAAACTTTGCTTTTCAAATGCCCCCAAAAAAAAGTAATCTAAAGGACTTACGTCCGGAGATCTCGACGGCCACGCGATGGTGCCTCGTCTGCCGATCCACTGATTCGAGAAATGTTTCATTACAATTAACGTCATTTTCTATTATTTCGGTAATTCCTGGCTCTATTGTATTTCCTAACCTGTCCAAGTATGTACGTCTCGTCCTTCAAGTTTCCATTAATAAAGAAAGGGCCCACAATTATGTCTATTTATAGCACCGTGTAAATAAAACGTACACTCATCCGAGAGACAAATTTAATATTAAATAACAGATTTGCATTGTTGATTAAACGTTGGGACATTCATTCGCAAAACTCCAATCTCCTATCAAAATCGTCTTCATTAAGCTCACGGACAGGTTTTATCTTGTACGGGTGAAATTTATTGTCTTTAAAAATTTGAAATGATAGACAAAATTTTTCTATGACATACTATGACACTGACTGACGCTAAATGTTCTTGCTGGTATCCATGATTATTGTTTTTTGCCTAGTATTCCATTATTATCAGTACTAAGTTGTTTATATTATATGTTCATCCAATTAGATATTGAAGGTTTAAATATTTTTTACATCATGCTGACCTTACCTCCTCTATATGGACATTATTGTCAAAAATTGATTAACCGTGAATTATTAGTAGGTAAGTAACACTTATCGTTATCCTGAGAACGGGTTCTATCCAGTTTTCGAAAAACAAGTCGGGTCAACGATGTCTGAGAAACACTCAAGTCTGAACAAGCGCGAGCTTCGAATTCCTGAAATTCCACAAAATGATTCATCAATAATGCGCGCGTTCGAGCACCGAGAACCGTTGATGATTGGAGTGCTTTTCACCAGCGGTAGCGGTCCTTCAATGGAATTTTGTTGTAACGGACGCAGCGTTGTCATGTCTACCAACTTTTAGGTAGATCTACCTATTTTGCCCTTAGTCTACCTGTCTACCAGCTCTCAGCTTTGAATCTACCTATTTTATAAAAAACAGTACACTTAACTTTTTTCTACCAGCATTAGACTAGTCATGTGTGTGATTAAGGGGATGAAAAAAAGTGAGTTTTGGCAGTTTACTATTGACTTTACTGTGACAATTGACAATGACATAACGTCAAACCCTTTAAGTTGGTTCGTAACTTGCAAGGTGACAATATGTCGGTTTATTTGACATTATGTAGGTTTTCCTACCAGATGTCAACTAGAAACTAGCTGTCGCTCACTGCATGCTCACTTGTAACTAGCGCGGGTTGAACTGTTTGCACAATACCAGCTAAGTAGTCAACAAGTTGACGTTTTATCGGTTTTCTGATATTATACAGACTTTTAACGTAATAAACCTGCGGGCTGATCGTGGTTCTGTCAAATATGACGACTTGGTCACAAAATGCCAACGTCAATGTCTGCTATTCTGCGATATTACGAAGACTGGAGATATGGAGTTAAACTGCGTAAGAGATACACGTATTTATACATTTCTCTATCATTTTTCCATGCTCTGTACGTTTATAACTTCATGGTTTATCAGTAATATCAAATATTTCTGGTTGCAACTCGCCCAAAATGTCTAAATTGGAGTCACGATGACAGAGAGAGATGCCACATGCGCCGAACCTAAAATTCATTTTCTGCGCAATGTAGACACGAGAGAGAGAGACTCTATGCGCAGCAGCAGAAATTTATCTACTGCGCCGTGTACCAACCACCTTCGTCGTCGATATTTATTGATATTCACATATGATAAAAGTTTCAAATCTGGGGGATTTTGTGCTGGTTCTGGGGAAACAATGTTTGATCCATCTGGCAACGTTGCAATGAACGGACGCTTACAGTGCGTGAATGAGCTTGCATGATCATAGCGGGGTAAGTTTGCGTAACATGCTCGTTTGGTGCAAATGGGTTTAAATTTTATCATTAGACATTCCCGTATTATCATTATGTAAAATGCCCCAGTCGAAATAATATTAGGTAACTTTTGAATGGAAACCTTGTTTATTTCGAGTAATACATTTGTATATTGGTAGGTAATAGCTTTGCGGTAAAAGAACACAATACAGGAATACGACTCTAGCTTGTACACAATAAAGTATGCTAGAAACGAGGAATTTCCGGACCCATGTTTATGGAAACCTTTTCCTATTTTTAAGTGTTTCATCCGTCTTCAAATTTAACGAGGAATTTCCGGACCCATGTTTACGGAAACTTTTCCCATTTATTCTACCTTTAAATTTGCTTCATATGTAACACCCTGATGTATACCTACTGTTTTTTTGAGTTACCCTCCATAAATCTATATAAAAATTATAATCTTATTACAATATTATATATTTATGATAACGACGAAATCATACATATTTCAATATTTAATCTAATTGAAATGATGTGACATTCAGGGTAATCATTAGCAGTCACAGTTTCTCTGTTGTAAAAGATGGAAACACCTAGTGAATTCATATACAACCCTAGACTTGTAAGACGTGCTTCAAGAAATCTATTCAAAAGATTACGATGGTGTTATACATTGGGTGAGTGTTAAAAAATGAAAGAGAAATATCATATACCTCCACCTATCGCCTTTTTTCTCACAAAAATTGTTCAAATACGACTGAAAATGTAAGAACATTTTAAAAAATTTCGCGGAACACATAAGTCGACATTTGTTTAGCAAATCTAAGGAGTAGAGAAAAATTGGATCTGTCAGATATTAAAATGAACTGCTATGTGTCGCATACAGAAAGAGATCACCCCAAATTCGAGTCAAAATGGACAGCAGCTAGTTTTAGTTTGTTTTAGCAGCTAAATAAAAGTTTGTTTTTAGAAACGTATTTTCTTTTTTATCTGTTTAATATTTTAGGCAACCTGGTAAGCGACCTACCTACCGATCCACTATGTAACACTGCCCCATCTTCAGTGAAAAAAATCGCAAGTACAGTGAGACTGTCTGCCATTGTAAGTTTGGTGTTACTATTTTTGTACAAGACAAATTACACCAGAGACAGATTCTTCTTTCAGTTTCCGATTACAGTCGGGTGCTTTTTGTGTATGTCTCTTGGAGCTATGCTAAATTTCAGGTAAGAATTTCTTTCGAAAAGCAACAACTTAAATGGTAGCACTGTACGGTTTGGAACTCGCGCATCTCAGTAATTCCTTCGTGGAGGTCAATTATTGAACAATGATGGAAGATTCGCTCTCCGTTTGTGCCGAATTCTTGCCGTCATCCGTCAGTTTCGTCTCCAAACACGAAGATCGTGATGAAACTTTCATATTAAGAACCTAGGAACATATTTTGACGTCCTCGTAACTGGAACTTTGAGTACCAATGAGAGCACCCTCGTACTTCGACGCTTAGGTAACCAGAATCACGCACGACGTGTCGCGAACTGTCTGGGAGACGCGAAAACGCTTCTGGACTTGTCGATTCGAAGATAAATACAAGCTTAGCGGGCAGAGAGAGTCGACGGATGAATGAACAGCGAGGATCACTATAGCCCAGTCAATATGGACATAAATTTGTAATAAATTAGTTGCACGTTGTAATAAGTTGGTGTGACCGTAATGAATTAGACTTTAAATAGTAAAAACGGTGTTTTCGTTACAATATTATTTTGCCGGAAATGGAGGCATGACAAGGACCCCGAGGCGTGATAGAAAAGTGCTTAAAGTGGTATCCAGGACGATCGCTATACCTATCAATGGTTTGCCAAAGCTGATTTTCCTCCTCATCCCATATCACGAAGACGACGGGAAACCCTTACGTTTTCCAGTCCATGTCAACTGTCAAATTTCCACCTGCCTGCATGCTATGTTTTAAGCTTTTCAAAAAACCGTACCCACTTGTCTGCTTCTCGTTTCGTCTGTCTCCAAGACTAGACCTAAGACACGGATGAGCACGAAACAGCGCTGTCTGCGGTTGTTCATGGTTACAGAGATCGAAAGCAATCATGTCCATTTTTTCCGTCCGCCCATGAAGTGTTCCGAATTTTTAGGCATGGAACGTTCAGAAATGACCATTTACAGCTACTGAGATCTTTGGTGCAGTTTGACGTGTCCTATATACAATACCTCGACGAAAACTATGGAAATCATCAAAAGTATCGTAACAGAACTGTATTGGCGTTTTTCTTCATGTTATCTGTCACAAACTCAAGTATTCTGGCATTTGACGAATCTAATGATCTTGATTGGTTTCTGTTATTGCCAAAGGTTAGTATACTGAATGACAGAAAATGCAACACCGACTAGGAGTAATGAGAACAGTTTTGCAACTTTTAGGTCTACTGATAAATAGAAAGTGATTAAAATTTATTGTTCGGATCCTTTACAAAAAAAGTGCGGCTGGGAATGCCTTCATCATCCATGTTTACAAGTTTTTATCAAAATTCAATAAATAATTCTGGGTGTGGCATTTTATTCACTTACCGATAGTAAATAAAAATTTCCAAAGGAGAAGCGACAAGTAGCACCCATATAAAGATACAAATATTGATGTTTCGGAAAAAATATATCGAAACATCGATGATCCTACGCCACTGGCGCGGAAAATTTCGAAAATGAATAGTGTACTATGTTTTTTGGAAGTTATATAACATGTACATCATGAAATCCAACAAGGTTGAAAAAGCTTTATAGTTTTTGAAAACCGGTCTAGTGGTGACCAAGCTAAGGGCAAACACACTACAAAGTAAAAATCACATAAACTTCGCTTTTTGACGTTTGTGTTGACGCTTGGGGGTTGCGGATTGTAGGGGGTAGGGATCATAGAAACAGAAACATGATAGATTTTCTTTATTTAGTAGGAAGTATAGAGTCAATCTACTTGACGACATTTTTTTTTATTAAAACAACTAAAACACATTGTTGCTGTATTAAATGTTTTCACTTCAAAATTTAATAAAAACTTCCTCTTGCTTATGTTTAACTGTAGACAAAATTCCAGTGAAATAAAATAATTTTTACTAGGTGTTCTATTTTCTTTATCATTAAGTATATCAATGGATGAGAAGTAAATCTACTTGACCCATTGTCTAGGTTATTGACCGAATCAATTCAGCATGGTGTTCTTATAGCATTACAATACATGCTATGGAGATAAAAATTCGATATGATAACCTCAACTCACACCTGAAAAATTTGGGAAAAGATGGAGAAAAACCAATATCTCTAGGTAAGTTACAAAAACATTATTTATTTTATTTTTTATAAAAAAAAACATTACTAAAAAATTTAACGCATCACATCACTAGCGCTTAGGGATTCATTGAGTCAAGTAGCTTGATATTTTCATAAACTAGGTACTTGACTTGAAAATAAAATTATTTGAAACGTTAACGCTACTTGATACTTATATTTTAAATTATATTTTTGTTCTACTAAAGACCTTCAGTGATATATATATATATATATATATATATATACAGGGTGACTTTGAAGTTGAGTCATTAATTTTCAGATAATGATTGTAGAAGGAAGATAAACCAAAATATGTGTGTAAAAATAAAAAAAAAATTAAAAAAAAAATTTTACCTTGTTTTATAAAGTATCCTCCCGACAAGTATTTCAGTGCGGACCTCTATTTGATCGTGAGGTCTTGGAGCACCGGCATGCCGTCCCCTGTGAGGTCTTAAGTCACCTGATTCACGAGCCCGTTGTACTACATTAACAAAGGCACGAGGGGTTGGTTGCACTCGATTGGGAAACCGATCCGCATAAACATGTGCCATTTTTGATTTCGTTTGAGCCACGCAACATACACCACTATTCACTCACGCGTTACCGACTGACACTGACTGTATACAACTGAATAAAATAATTGTAAAAACATCGTTCCAAATTCTTTCGCTTTTTTGTTTCCGATGCGATGAACCGATAAGGCGGATTATATCCAAACTTCCAAAGGGCTATAACTTTGTTACTTTAATTTTACCAGAAAAATGGTAAAGGAAAAAACATTTCTTTTGATCAGATCTACTCACTGTTAAAATAAATGACTCAACTTCGAAGTCACCCTGTATATATATATACACGAGTATTTGTATAACCGATGAGCCTTATTTTCTATTTTAATGTAAATAATCAAGTCGAAAATTGTCACTACTATCTCCTATGATGTAAGCAAACAGCATTGCCAAGCCAAGAAACACAAAATCGCAGAGTTGCCAAATATATAAACACTCACTCAAAAAAAAAATCCCCCAATATGGCAACACTGCAAATTCGGTAGATTCTAGGATAAAATAGGCAGGAAGATGAAATCAGCGCCGGCGTGAGATCAGCGGCTTTTGGGCCACGCAGTGCTGTCTATGAAAAGTATATTTTCATACAGAGCGAACACACAACACAGATTCACAGGTTTTCAATTAACATAAAAAGGGGTTAATTCGATGGGTATAGAGATCCTCTATCATCCAGCTTTAGTTGATCCATCCATAAGTTTACATCTTGTCAGTGGCGGCTCGTGAGGTAGTGCCACGGTGCCATGGCACTACCTTGTCTTCTTCAAAAAGAATATTTTTTTCAATCTTCAATGTTTTACTTTATTTTTTGCTTTTTCATTTTTTTTTGGTATAAATTATATGAAGTGACAACACTGACAACGTGACAACACCGCAAGCACCCGAACCACGCGACGAGATATAAAGCATGCCTTGACCTTGACGTCATCAACTTGTGCCAATGTCGGGCCGGCCCAAATAAAAAGAGAGAAATTTTACCACCATCGCATACGAGCGACAGAGATAACGCTACAATACACATTTTTATATGAGGTGAATAGCGAAAGACAAGTATAATTTGTGCCAGGCACATCATCAGTCGTAATTCGTTATCAAATGATATCGGCGGTGTTTTTGTTCGGTCGGTCGTTTCGTTATGATTACGTCTAGTGCTGATTTCGGTCTTTTTTTACCTGAAAAGTGAGAAATAACGTTTTTGTTTTAGTACGTCTAGTGTTAATGAACTGCTCTGTTTTGTGATCATATTTTTTACTGTTTTATTAAAACTAGTGAAAATGAATAAAATCGGGATATTAAAAAACTCATTTAGTGGTTTTTCGCTGGATCAAAAACTGCAAATTAAAGAATTAGGACGGCCAATACCCGATTTAAAAATTGAGAAACAAAGTGGTAGCGGACAAAAATCGCGCTGTCGCAAATTTAATAAAAATGTGTACGATAAAAACAGCTGGATATGTGGTTGTGAAGAAACGAATAAACTATTTTGTTTTGTATGTGTTCTATTTGGAGGTGACGAGACTTGGTCAAAAAAAGGTACAGATGATCTTATACATATATGGGATAAAATGAAGACCCACGAAAAATCTAAAGTCCATATGAATAATGTTTTTAGCTTTTCTATTCTTGGTAAATTAAATATAAGGACTCAACTCAATTCGGCTTATCGCAATGATCTAATTAAACATAATAATCAAGTGGATAAGAATCGATATGTATTGAATAAAATTATTAATTGTATAAGGTTTTGTGGAGCATTTGAGTTAGCCTTAAGGGGTCACGATGAAAAGGAAAATTCGGAAAACAGAGGCATATTTAAGGAGCTGGTGAATTTTAGCGCCGAATTAGACAACGAATTGAAAGTCCATATTCAAAGTGCCAAACTTTTCAAGGGTACCTCAAAAACAACTCAAAACGAGCTTCTTGAGTGCATGCTAGATGTTTATCATGAAGAAGTTAAGAAGGAGATTGCAAATTCTCCTTTTGTTGCAGTAATTGCCGATGAAACGACTGACGTAGCCTGTGAATTTCAGTTAGTTATTATTTTCAGATATTTGTGTAAAGGACAACCAGTTGAGAGATTTTGGAGATTTTACGTCCCCGACGGACACGATGCCAAATCAATCGCTGCATGCGTTTTAAATGTTGTAAATCCATTAATAGATCAAAATCCAAACAAATTAATAGCTCAAAGCTATGATGGTGCGTCTGTTATGAGTGGTGAATTGAATGGCGTTCAAAAGATTATTAAGGAAACTTATCCACTTGCAAATTATGTTCATTGCTATGCACACCAGTTAAATCTAATTATGACAAGCGCATGCTCTGTCAATAAGCAGGCTAGAATATTTTTCCATAATTTATCTGGATTGTGCTCTTTTTTTCGACGTCTCCTCAAAGAACAAAAATTTTGGATGAAATAGTTAATCGCAGATTGCCAAGATCTTCCCAAACACGTTGGAATTTTCAGTCACGAGGTGTTCATACAGTTTATGAAAATAGGAAAGACCTGATTGAAGTTATGGACAATATAGAAAGTACTTCACGCGATTCTTCGTCGATTAATCAAGCCAGTGGGTACAAATTAAAGCTGCAAGATACAAATTTTGTATTTTGGCTAAGTATATTCCATAAAATAATGCCACATGTTGAAATTGTCTTTAACCAATTACAAAAAGTATGCACCGATTCTGTTAAGGTCAAAAATGATTTAGAGAATTTTGAAGCAGCAATTCAAACTATACGAGAACAAATGGATAGCATTATTGACGAGATTGAACGAGTGCAGAGAGAAACTGATGAACCGGCAAGAAAAAAAAGGCAAGTTGAAGAAGGCAGCAAAAAACGGGAAGCGTTAGAAATATGCGATGCAGTATTATCGCAAATAAGAACAAGATTTAACTTTTCTGGGCATTTAGTTGCTTCTAATTTATTTGTGTCTGAAAAGTTTTCTGTTTATAAACATCAGTTTCCTGAAGCACATTTAAATGACACATGCACACAATTTTCATTTTTAGACAAAAACAGGCTTAAAACTGAGTTACAAGTATTATATCAGAGAGAAGAATTGAGTACTACTTCTGGAGCTGTTCCACTATCCATTTTATTGAACGAGGAAGGATTAAATTGTACGTTTCAAGAAACTCTTAAGCTCTTAAGTATTTTAATCACTATACCGATGTCAACATCTGAAGCAGAACGCTCTTTTTCAATGCTGAAACGGATTAAAACTTTCCTCAGAAACACAATGAAGGAAGAAAGGCTTAGTGCTTTAGGAATGCTGTCTGCAGAAAAACATTTTGTTAGTGGCATTGAAAATTTTAATAATAAGGTAATCGAAAACTTTGCTACCAAAAAAGAAAGAAGAATGGACTTCATGTATAGAAAACTTTGAAGTTATAGGTACTTCTCCACACTTGTTTTATAATTTGGTGCGCGTGTGTAAATAGTTTTATTTTTGATTTTTTTTTGGACATATAGATTTATTGAACCTCAAGAACTTTGACCACTAACTATCAGGGGTAAGTTATAAGTTATTCTTTACAATTTTGAATCGATTCAAAATTATGGCTTCCATTCTGGCACTACCTCACTGAATTGGCACGAGCCGCCACTGCATCTTGTATATTTCCAGATCCTCTGAAGACAGAAACCTTAATCACCAGCAAGTTGTATTACGTGAATCGTCTGCATTACAAGTTGTACCGCATCATTAGTCGTTTTTCAGACATCTACAGGTGGGTTATACACAGTTTCTATTAAATATCTGAAGACTCCAAAAACTTGGCAACCACGCATTTTTTCTGAAAGCTGGAAGCTATAGCAAACAATGCAAATAGATCAAAATAATACATCCTGTTTGTATGCTTCATGCTTGCATTTAAAAGCTTATTTGAGTCTGTCAGTTTGACACCAGGCTTCTAGATATTTGAAAGTATATGTAAAATGGATATGAAACGTAAAATCCTACCGTCACGTTGTATCTTCAATTCGATATGACTGGTACTTTCATCGGCATACCAAGCCCTTTTTGTTCATTTACTTTGAAACTACATGTTATTACTAAGTTTTGTAGCCACAACGGAAAATGAGTGGAGTGACATTCGTATTGACATTTGAATTGGTCTGATCGAGTCAACGCGCGGGTGATAAAATAATGTTCATAATTTCGACGTAAACATATTTAATCTTAAGATGATCTTTGGCAGCGTTTCGATTCAACAAGTTTTTTAAGATTTGGTACAGTGGCTTGAGCAGTGGAAATTCTGAGTATCGCCTCTATCATCATCAGACAAGGACCTGTTTTTAGTTTTGTTCAAATTCATTAAAGAAAACATCTGCTCGCAGAAGTACGTTGTACCGAACATGGAGCAAGATTCCAACGCCAGTGCAAGAATTTTAACCCCCTCATCACCCATTTAAATAATGACTATCATAACGTTTACACCCTGTATATCAATGCGTCATAAGTCAAACTACTCGACGAAATATAGAACCATCATAGAGGGTGTAACACAAATTATTTTTGTTGTACCTACTAAAATATCTCTATTGTTGCAGCATCCCCATGCTTATTATAATTTTCATATCCATATGCATCACGGTGACAGATTTTTACTACATCTACAAGATGATGTTTTTGGAGATCGAAGATTTGTCAAAAACCTATGCTGTATTGCATGGCTGTCAAATAGTCATGCGCTTCCTCGAGTTGGCCGTTTTGGTGGAAGCTTGCTTTGGCGTTTGTGAAAGTGTAAGTAGTGTTCATACAGATTTCCGAGGAAGACAAATGACAACAGTTTTTATAAACATCGGTCCCAATTAATGTATCCCAAAATTGAAATCTAATAGAAATTCTAAATTCTAAAAAATATTGTAAATGTTCAATATTATTATAGGTGAATCACTGTTCATCTGACAATGGCAGTTTTTATTTATTGTCTCCTGAGAAATTCAATTTGTGTTACTTGCGAGGTATCTCTGTCTCTATCCAGAAACGTCAAATCTGGTATACTTATTAGAACCCTGCAGAAGACCATGCCACGTACTTTTGAGCTTCGACCGCATAAGTGGGAATTATGTAGATGAACAATTTTGAGACTTGAGAAGTTTGTAAGGTAACTTCTTTTTGTGCAAAACTTCTTTGAATGAGTGAGGTTGCAGATGGAGTACAAACACGAACAGTTTCTTAGTTTTTGAATCCGCATTAAATTCTACGATGTTATAATAATAATAATAATAACGCCTTTATTTGTTGTACAGGTGAGGGACAAAGATAGCGAAGTTTAACCTAGGCTACTCTTACACTTAACTATCTTTGTCAGTACTTTCAAAGCACGATGTAATGTGCGTTGCATAAGATGTTATAAAAAAAATTATAGTTATAACTAAACTACACTATAAACTAAAATACAAAACTATAAACAGTATGTACATGGATACATATACTAAGTGACATATAAATCCGAACACCCAGTTTAAATGGTTTTATTTTAATAAAAGTTGGTGAATGTATTTATCTTACTGTAAATAACAAGTGAAAAAATTTTCAGCCGTATCAGTTGGACATTCCGGTTGGCGGATTTTGGTTCTTGACATCCTTTACGATCGGTTACGATGCCTAGAGTACCGAGACCTGTACGATTTCGTCAACCTAGTGAGTTTGATAGGGGCCGTATAGTGGGACTTCGGTAAGCTGGACTTTCTTTTCGGGCAATTGCAGTTAGAGTGCAAAGAAGTGTAGACACTGTGGTTAGGTGTTGTCAGGCATGGCTTCGAGAAGGCCGTACGCAAAAGGCAAGGGACAGTGGACGCCGCCGTAGAACAACAGACCGTGAAGATCGTCGCCTAAGATTATTGGCCTTAAGAAACCGTTTCTCCACTACCAGGTTCATTGCAAATGAATGGTTTGCAGAACAAGGAAGACCTATTGGCATGCGAAGTGTTTACCGACGAATGAGAAGTTTTGGCTTGTTTTCATACCGGCCACACTGGGTCCTCCCTTTAACTCGAGAACACCGACGTAATCGCCTTGAGTGGTGCAAACAACGGTCACTCTGGGTCAGGAATGGAACAGTATTATCTTTAGTGACGAGTTTCGATTTTGTTTAGGCATGCACGATGGTCGTGCCAGGGTTAGAAGGCGACGTGGTGAAAGGAGGAATCCACAGTTTTTTGTTGAAAGACATGTTCATCACACTGTTGGAGTTATGGTTTGGGGTGCTATAGCTTATGGTTCCAGGTCACCTTTAATCTTCATCAGAGGTAACATGAACGCGCAGCGTTATATCCACGAAGTTCTAGAACCCCATCTTTTACCCTATTTTGACACCCTGGCAGATCCAACTTTCCAACAAGATAATGCCCGACCACATGTTGCAAGAGTCACAATAGACTTCTTTCAACATAATGATGTAACATTGTTACCATGGCCACCAAGATCTCCCGACTTATCCCCAATTGAGCACGTGTGGGATATGATGGGTAGGAGATTGCTCAATTTGCAACATCCTCCTCAGACTCTAGAAGCACTTCGAGAGGAGTTGGTGGTTGCCTGGTATGAGATACCACAGGAGGACATTGACCACCTGATCAGAAGCATGCCTAGGCGCGTTGGAGAATGCGTAGCACATCAGGGTGCATCCACACATTATTAAAGGTCAAAGGGCTTTAAAGCAGTGCAATCATTTTGAAATTTTTATCATTTACTTATTATGCTTCATTAAGTACTTATACAAAATTTTATTAAAATAGAACCATTTAAACTGGGTGTTCGGATTTATATGTCACTTAGTATATATACACATATACAGGGTGACTTTGAAGTTGAGTCATTAATTTTCAGATAATGATTGTAGAAGGAAGATAAACCAAAATATGTGTGTAAAAATAAAAAAAAAATTTTACCTTGTTTTATAAAGTATCCTCCCGACAAGTATTTCAGTGCGGACCTGTATTTGATCATGAGGTCTTGGAGCACCGGCATGCCGTCCCCTGTGAGGTCTTAAGTCACCTGATTCACGAGCCCGTTGTACTACATTAACAAAGGCACGAGGGGTTGGTTGCACTCGATTGGGAAACCGATCCACATAAACATGTGCCATTTTTTATTTCGTTTGAGCCACGCAACAGACACCACTATTCACTCACGCGTTACCGACTGACACTGACTGTATACCTACAACTGTATAAAATAATTGTAAAAACATTCGTTCCAAATTGTTTCGCTTTTTTGTTTCCGATGCGATGAACCGATAAGGCGGATTATATCCGTTGTTGCCAAACACGAGCACATAATATTATTATTGAGACAGGGCAGTACTCAAACTTCCAAAGGGCTATAACTTTGTTACTTTAATTTTACCAGAAAAATGGTAAAGGAAAAAAACATTTCTTTTGATCACTGTTAAAATAAATGACTCAACTTCGAAGTCACCCTGTATATACACATACATAACGGGTGATTTTTCAAGAGGTATAGGATTTGATTTAAAAAAAAACACAAAAAATTTGAAAAACGATTAAATCCTTATTTGAGTCGCTAGAACGGTCGATATAATTTAATGTTTAAAGATTATTTCATGTAAATGTTTGCCGCGGCTCCGCTTTACATGGCCCATGCGCAAGGTCCAATTTTGGCACACTCTCTCCAACATATCGGCCGGTATCTCACGAATAAATGCTTCAATATTGGCTTCCAGTGCGTCAATCGTTGCTGGTTTATCCCTGTAGACATTAGCCTTAACATGGCCCCACAAGAAATAGTCCGACGGCGTTAAATCACACGATCTAGGCGGCCAATTGACGAGCCCAAACGTGAGATAAACTGTTCACCGAACTCTCCTCTCAATAGGGCCATTGTTTCGTGTGCGGTGTGGCATGTGGCACCGTCTTGTTGAAACCACATGTTAGCCAAGTCCAGCTCTTCAAAAAAAAGTTTGTTATCATCGCACGGTAGCGCTCGCCATTCACAGTTACGTTCCGGCCATTGTCGTCTTTGAAGAAGTACGGCCCGATGATGCCACCGGCCCATAATCCACACCAAACAGTGATTTTTTCGGGATGCATTGGTAGCTCTTGCAATGCTTCTGGCTGGTCTTCACTTCAGATGCGGCAATTTTGCTTGTTAACGTACCCATTCAACCAGAAATCAGCTTCGTCGCTGAACACAATTTTTCGATAAAAATGTGGATCTTCCTCCAACTTTGCCAGCGCCCATTCACCAAATTGGAAACGTTGTGGGAGGTCGTGTGGCTTCAATTCTTGCACCAGCTGTATCTTATAAGGTTTTACACCCAAATCCTGTCGCAAAATTTTCCACGTAGTGGAGTAACACTGGCGGATACAGCCGCAATATTTTCTTCAGTCCTCACTCTACGTCTGCGTGTTGGAGGTTTAATGTCCAATAATGTAAACTGGGTTCGAAATTTATTCACAAGCTTCCGAATAGCTCCCTCAGTAGGCCGACCAAATTGCCCATACATTGGAAGCTGCATGAATTTTGATAGAAAAATTCAATAATTTGCAAGCGTTGTTCGTTCGTAAGTCGATTCATGGTTAAATTATAGACCAAACTGAACAAGTTTGACAATGACATAAGACACGATTCACGCGTCATCTGTCAAAAACAGTGTTGCCAAAAAGATACTAGCAAAAAAATCACCCATTACATATACACATATATATATATATACATACATACATATACACACACACATACACATATATACACCCATACACACCTATAATATTTAGATACATATATACATAAGAAAAGATACTGCACCAATATCAGGTAAGGGTTTTATTTGTTTACGGAAATTGGCAGGAGACATTTCCTTGTATTTACCTGGTAAAGCATTGTAAAGTATGGCAGCATTATACGAAAAACAACGCTTGAAAAGTGTCATAGAGTGAGGCGGTATTCTGATTGTTCAAAATATGTATTTATAAGTGCGTGATTTGAATTTAGGTAATTGGAATTTGCATGATCCTTTTTTTGCAGGCCAACAGCACACCAGTATTGCTACACCAATACCGGAACGATTTTTATAACAATAAAATCGACTCTCATGTAAGTATGGCACTAGCTTAGGTTATGCTACTTTTCTGATCCTTTTGAACCTTTACATGGAACTTTTGTCGCACAAAAAACCTATAGAATGTCAAAACAACGACAAAATGTCACTGTCACCCGTGGACCTAAGAATCTTCCACTATATCCTACCCTTGTATTTAGTATTTTGTAACACAAAAACAGGCATCCCATCAGTTTCAGCATGTCTGTCAAAACTTTTAAAACTATAGTTGCAGTCACCGTTCTTGGCGGTGCCACTGCTCAGGCTAATTAATCTGCAGCGCATCAGCTACTCTTTCCAGTACGCATGAAATGGGTAACAGGCTAACAGGGGACCGCTGTTCATTCTCTTCCTGGAAATACTCTAATAAATTTAGCACAAACTGTCTGCCTTCGTCATTGATTGGTATTGAGGGAAAACCAAATTTGCCTGGAAGCTTGAGTTCAATGTGTACGAGATAGAAGTGTGTCTAGACACATAATATGTTAGACAGAGACAGAAATCGCCTGGATAGCAAAGCTCATCACCGCCTCGTCTAGCAATGCTGACGCTACACTCTGCCAACATGTTACATCGTTCCTTCATGTTGAAAAATGAAAATATGCGTTAGTTTCTCTATGAACCACAAAACAGAAAGAAGAAAAAAATTGTACACATAGTAATTGATAATCAATTGTCGCGACAAGTACCAAAATCCCCCCCGGTCAGCGTATCCTGAAAATCCCATCGCAATGATGGCAAGCAAAGGGAATTCTAAATAACCAATAATATCCTGTGAGAGATAAAAAACCACGAAAGACCCGCCTACAAGCCGTACACCTAGCAGGGCATCAGTAGAATATTCTGCAGACGATAATCGTATTGGTTGACCAATGAGCGTCGAACATTTTTTGTGGGACTATTTCTGTTTGCTGATAAGAGCATTCCAATGAGTTTTTTGTGTTTTGCGAGAGAAATGGGCAGAAATAAAATCTTGGATTTGTATTGGTGGAGTTAGTATGTTTCTCATTTATTTGCATTTTGCAGCTATATTTTGTGACACTAATCATTTCTGCGGATAAGAGCACCGGAAAAAAATCGCTTGAACTCGTCGATTTTTATTTGGAGGTAAAAATCTTTTGCATCTATTTAGTGTAGAAAAAATCAAAAATATTTTGATTAAATCGTACGTCTGATTTCTATCAATTTGTACTGCCTAACCTATAATTTGCATTACTCTATCTATAATGGTTCGCTGAATATTTCGTCAAGTAGATCGACTCAGTTTGTTATACAACAGGCATGAACTGACAAACCGACATAAATGAGAAACGCGGATATCTTTAGGCATCAGAAAACTTGTGATCCGAAGTTCGAATATTATCAGCGGAGGAGGAGGAAGAATGGAGTCAATCTACTTGACGCCATTTTTTTCGCTGGATGTGCTCACATAATTTAATCTCTCGACATTGTTGTGAAGATAACGTGTGGCAAACAATCCGTGGATGATTAATGTATTCAGACTTTGCCTTCTTATCTGCTTGATCATTAAAAAAACGAGACTTCGAGAATACTTCACAACAATTTGACAACAATTGACACCTGAATAATAAACAGAAAGTATTTGCGTAACAACATAACGCGATAAAGATAAATAGATGAAATCCAGAGTGCGATATTTTTTATGCTTTACTCATTAATGTTATTTTCTGACATATAAATCATGGCCTCCTTAGAAAAAAACTAAACATTACGGGCATAAAACCGACACCAGCGATTTACAAAAGTCGGAACAAAACAAATGAACTCCGAAGCGCGAAAATGACTGAACTGAAAAGTAGCTGGCAGCATGAAAAATGTCCAATTGTTCGAGTTTAAATATTCGCCCTATCTTAAAGTCATGCCAAATAGTTTTTGAAGAGTTTCGAGTACAGTTTTAGGATCTTTGACGATTTATTTAGAATATCTCCTTATCCGATGGAATGTATTATTTTCCCGCTACCAACTTGGGAAATCACCATGTTACAGAAGTTACAGTTTTCATAGGTAAACAATGGTAACGAAAAAACCTTGGTGAAATAATGAAAATGTGCATTCACGATTCAGGTAGAGCTTCTCGATTTGTTGGCCACAGAACTGTCACTGCAATTAAACTCTACCCATTTTTGGGTACCTATTAGCAATAATCATTGTTTACTACAAGTAAATACAGAGTCTGTTTTATGACTTAAATTTTTGTTGTTCAGTGCATTTGTTTATCTCATTATTTTGACAGCGTAAAAGTTCCAGTATACTTGATAAATTGGAACATTTGGAAATCGGTGGGAAACGAATGATACATTGACGGTCGTAGTATCGTGTATCTTTATCCGACACTATTGTAAGGGCAGCTTCATCGGACAGCGTTGCCGGACGTTAAGAAAATGATCAGATATGCTATATCGTAATGCTCGGCCTAAAATACGGCATACTCCTTCGCCAAGGTGTATAATATACTATTATCGTTCTAGTTTTATGCCTTGGGACTGGCATATCCAGTAGAACAATATTGAGAGTCTCAAAAGCAGAGAAATTCGCACCTTATCAAGCACAATAACGATAATGTTTATAGATATCAATTATTGTGAGAAAAGTATGTTTTCATTTTCAGATTCAAATGTATTCCTTACAGCATCTGCATCAAAAAGTATTTATAAACGTTCTTGGTTTTTTGGAAGTAGATTTGTCTACGTTATATACGGTAAGTTTCAAATGTAAAAACATTGATCAACGTATTCCACCAGAAGCTGGCCAACGTAATGCTATAATCCCGCGTCCAAAATTATCAAAGATAAAATGAGATAACGTAGCGTTATCTCTGAACAGTGTTGCCAAACCTACCAATTTTTCGGTATTTCTACCGAAATGAGACCTTGTTTACCGAAAACGTCCTTATTTTCCACGGTTTATTTTAAAATATTTATTATTTTTTAAAGCTAGATTTGGACGCGGGATTATGGTACTAGGTGTTTGGCAACTCATCAGCTTTTTTTGACGGAAAGTTTATTATGGCCACTCTCAGACAGAAAAGGTCGACAGTATTGCCCTGTCAGCCTTGCCTGCCTGAAGTGTGAGATTCTCCAGAAATGCGGCATACTCCCGAAAACCCCTCACTCGTTCGTTACACCTCCCACCGCGGTAATGCTTGCAGCATTTCGTCACGATGGGGGGGCGTTGGGTCAACCAGGTATTTAGTCTCTTAGTCATACGTATATGTACTCATGTTCCTATTTATCCTCTGCACCTGGGAATTGATCGCCAGGTGCGACAGTCTCGTGAAATATAGCGTCAAGTAGGTTAACTCTGCCTAGACTCATAGAAAATTCATTTTTTGTGGAAGAAACCGTAATAATTATTATTTGTTGCAGTATATTGGATCAGTCATAGCGTACTTACTGATTTTAATACAGTTTGATAAGCTGCCAGAAAAAAATATGAAGATACATTAGATGCTGAGGGAAAAGTGTGTAGTGCAAAAAAAAACAGAGGATAATCGTAACAATTATACTGTATTTCAGACATTTACAAAAAAGCAAAATTCGAAATAATCACAGTTATAACTTATTAAGAATGTAATAATGATAAATTATTGTAGAATTGAATGGTAGACATATGAAAACCTGTAACAATAAAGGCTTAACAACAAATTGTAGATTATATCATTGGTCCTTTAGCCATCATCACAAGACTGGTCAATAATTATTGTTTGACAGATTTTGAAGCATCTTCCATAAAGTTGGCCAATTTGACATCACGGCCACTGAGGCCATTGACGTCGTGAGAGGCCAATGTTACTTGCACCTTGTTGTATACATTGAACCATTCTGGATGGTGGTCCATCTTTTCTGCTAACAGGGCTACTCTAGACATGAAGCCAAAAGCCTGAAGAAAAAAAAGATCAAATGAATACATTATTTTCTTATGAAGACAATAAAAACAATAAAGCTGAAATGACAAAAACTCAAATGATTTTAAAAAATGACCCTTCATCATTAATAAAATATTGTTTGGCGCTTCCAGAAAAACATGAACATGTGTAACAAGAGAATTAAATGTGTTATCGAATGGGTTGGGACTGGGGACTAACTGGATCGGCATATTTGACAGACTTCATTTACTTAATTTTGGTACCAGACTGTAGTAGCATATAGATATACTGAAGCCAAACAATTATCAAAAATGAACAGAGTCTCTGCAACCTTAAAAACCGTAGTTTGGGCGATTTTTATTTTATTGTTTGCTGTAGTTCCACCATCACTGGATCAATTTTCAAAAACTATGTTTTTTCATCCTTGGCTCAATAGTAATGGCAACTTTGACAATGTTGTATTAAAATTTCCTTAAAACCCAATTTCAATGGACATTTTTTGCAGTTGCAATTATTTAGTTATCTCTTGCCAATAATCCTTTTATTCAATTGTTTCAATCAGAATTATAACCTCTATACCCAGATACCCTACCTCTATACCCCCTCACAGACGCCAATGGAGATATCACTAATCAGAAGATGCTTACTTGATATTAACTAAAAAATATATAAAAATTCGAAATGTTGCCTCTGGCAGATTTTAATAAATAATTTGCCGATTTCTCACCTGGTTGAAATCCTTGAACAGAAATTCCTTATGAATGGCATCTCTACCGTCCACGAGTTTCCACCCCTGTTTCAGCAAAGCAGCAAGGGTGGTGTTGCGTTCTTCATCTGTTAGTTTGGCATGCTAGATTCAAGAGTTTTTTTTTTATGAAACGGTGAATATGAATCGAAAAAAATTAACTTACCATTTTACTTTTTGCCTTAGCGGTCGCTACGCACCGATGGTTCGTCAAGGTGAATGTGCGACTGTCCGGTTTCAAGAAGTGAAAGGCTGATGGAGTTTCCAGCGGCCTGTTTCTTGCAGCTGATGTCGCCACACGGACAGCTATACTGCACATTCTGGTGTATTTATTGATTTCAAGAGCTTATCGGTTCACATTGGGACCTTTGTAATTACTGATACGGATGCGCTCGTTTCCTTGTTTTGAATGTATTGCAAATTGGAGTTTAAAAAATACTCAAGTACTTTCAAATTTGACATTAATCAGATGGCAAACACAAAATTGTTCTATGCTTCCATGCTGTGCATAATTGCAAGGCTGCCAGATGTAATACCTTTCAGTGGTTTTCGTCATATTTCCCTACACTATCATTGCACATAATAACCGTGCCAGTTGTTCAATCCTTATAGGGTTAGCTATTTTGAACATTAAACCTATTGACAAGTATTATCTATAATATCTGCACTATAAATCGAAATAAGATTTTTATTTTAGAGCATGTGGCAACATGCAATCCCAACTTGTCATTTGTCGACAACGTCATACATCAATTATTTTTTGGACACACAAGTTCGTAGTGGTCTTAAGACTATTTTCATAAAAATTCTAGTTTTTTAACTATTTGGATAAATTAAATTTGAGAACATGCTTTCAAAAAGCAACCTGCTCGTTAGGAACGTTCTTCGAAATGCAGCTCGATTCTCCCACCATGACCTCGGTGGCATTCCTGGATCGGTGAGTTACATAACATCTGAATTTTAGAAAAGCCGTAATTTCTTTAATCATTGCACAAATTAATTTCGATATACATAATCAGTTAATTATATTCCCATAATTTTAGATGGCTGTAACTGCGGCGATATGTATATGAATAAGTTGTCTCGTGGATCTTGACATTCAGAGCCAACACAGATTTATGTGCTTATGCTTGAATTGAATTTGCATAGTTTACTTATTTTAACAGATAGTACTAAGATTTGTATTCTTTTTTCAGAACCTGCCATTTTCCATCAACAACAGATACAAGTTGACAGCGCTCTTCATTGTTTTCTTTGGTTCAGGATTTGGGGCTCCATTCCTTGTGTTGAGACACCAACTGCTTAAAGCGTAAATATGTATAATTCTAGTTGTAGCCTCTGATAGTAACCAAGTTATTTAATTTTGTAATATCTGAATGTGATTCATTGATAAAATTACAGTCTGATGTGTTTTTTTTATTAAATATACTACCTAATCATTGAACTCGCAAAAACGCCATAGCCAACTACATACTGCTGATGCATCTCTAAAAATGCTGATGCTCTAAAATTTCATAATGATCCCAGGAAAGACATTATAGGTAGGTACATGAAAACTTAATAATATTGTTGTATATGTAAAATGACCTTTAATGTTTATCAAAAATACCATTTTTCATTCGTAACATCTAAGTTTATTTATTGTAAATCAGTTTTATATAGAAGAAATAAAATTAAGGAATCTTTCCAAAATGACGTGACAAATCAGCTGAATGAAATTGTCAAAGTTGCCTGCCACAGAACAGAAACTATTATGACAAGGACGTGCAGTGTTGCCAAATTGTGGATAATGTTTAGAAGCACGAATTCGTCCGGTAACATGCTCCATATATACCCTAGTACGGAAAAGTAAGAGAGCATCAAAATACATCGTACGCTACTACAATCGCGGCCTCTCTTTGAAATGAGAAAGTCCAAGCGCCCTATTCAAGGAGCTGCCGCGCTGGCCAGTTGCGTTTGATATACGATCTGTTCCGCTGCTCTCTTCCCTTCCGAGTACTGGAGTGCAGTTGGCTACAGCACCATCTGTGATATACTAACTAACTACTTCAAAGTAGATTTCTAATTATTGCGGAGATTAGAAACATAGCTGAGGCAAGTTCACATAGAGAACGCTACGGTATCTCATTTCATTTGGACGCGAGAACATAGTAGTTTATCTGTCTCCGGATGGAATACGTTATTCAATGATGGTAAAGTAACTTTAGCCGCCACTATGAAATTGATTTAACCTATGTTAAGCACAATATAGTGACCACGCCACTTTTATTTTGTGAGAGGCAATGGCGCAGCTACCAGCAATTCAGTCATTTTATTTTTAATTCTACTTTCAGTGGACCGTAGATATTTTGTATGCATATTGGGCATTTTTCTAGGCCGCCGGCCAAAATCGCCCCCTTTACACTCTAGTCACGTAAATATTTCGTTATAATACTGTACTTAGGGATTTTTATTACAAACAGGCAACAATGGAATCATCTGTTTTCCAGACGTGACGTACACGAAACACTTCAGTTTTGTTTTTGTTTTCCTCTTATCCTGACTGCCTTGTTTTCGGCCAAAGTTCAATTTATAGTGACTGTTCGATTAATGCAGGCTTAACAGAGATCAGACATTCAAATTAGATTTCAAAAATGGCCAGGGTCCTTGTGGGAGTCAAAAGAGTTATAGATTATGCTGTAAAGGTAAGAATCAACTCTATTTTCTATCTGTCATACGATTTGGAGCCCTTAAGAAAAAGTATACGACACATCTTCAATCCCAGGAGCAAAGGTTAAAGGTATCAATTTTCATGGTCAATCAAACTAACATAGCTTTAATACATGATTGAAGAATAGACATATTTTTGCGAAGTTCCCCTGTTACCACATTTTCTTGTTGTCTGACAGATTACCACATTTTCTTGTTGTCTGACAGATTACCAGGATGCAATCAATGACGTTTATCTACCTCTTTTCATGAAGTTACAATATGCCTCTCTCCATTCATTCAATGGACGCTGATAAAATGAGAAGTATCTCGAGAAAACTAACTGCCCAAACGATGCTTTCAAAATTTGAATGAATTATAGAAAAATAGTTTGTAAATGAGGCAAAGCTTCCAGAGAAGTACAAAATAATTCATTGTATTACATTCCTGTCTTTAACTGCTGTATAATATTTCCCCATCTTTTGGCCCCAAAAGCAGTTTGCATAGGTGGCTAGATGCAAATAGGTCCAAATTCAATAATTTAATTTCGTATCTTTGTACCTTAATAAGGAGTTTAATGTAATTGGGTTGTCAGGAACAAATGTCAACTTGACGATCCCAGGATATTAAATGTGTTGCAATGAAAGCTGAATCAATAAGTGTGAAGGCTTTATATTCTACATATTTTTTTTTTTTTAGTGCTGAAATGAAAAATGTTGACAATTGCAATTTCTTATAGGCTGTGTTAAAAATAATGTCAATATTGGTATAACATTGTTTTTAATAAGTTAAATTTTGTATCTAGTCCAGTAACATTTCCTCCACAATCAAAATGAAAGTTATATCGAAATTTTTTGTGGAAATATAAATTCAGATCTCCCAAGTTAAAAATGTGATTTTGTTAATAGATATATTAGTCTATCGTATTCAATAGATGTTTGTGTCATAACCTCAAAATAGAGCGCTGACAGGGAACAGTAGAAAACTAAGAACATCAAGGAAGTCATAAAGGCGTCCTACAATTGTAGGAGCGACTGACGAAGACAGAAGTAGTTTCTCAGTTCACTTTCCTGCCCTCGTAAATGTAATCGCGACATCAACCAATCGCATTTCAGATCCGAATAAAGCCCGACAAAAAAGGCGTATTAACCGATGGCGTGAAACATTCGATGAACCCTTTCGACGAGATCGCCGTCGAAGAGGCGGTCAGGATGAAAGAAAAGAAGATCGCGTCCGAGATCATCGCGGTGTCATGCGGACCTGCGCAGGCGCAGGATGTCATCAGGACCGCTTTGGCCATGGGCGTCGACAAGGGGATCCATGTGGACATACCTGCTAAAGAGTTTGAAACATTGCAGCCCCTGCATGTGAGCAAAATGCTGGCAAAGATCGCGCAGGATGAGAAGGTGGATATCGTCATTCTGGGGAAACAGGTAGGTTTCTGATTCCTCAGGCATTTTTCTTTCTCGCAACTCGAAGATTCTCGTCTCCAATTTATCTGTTCGACAAGTATCAACCAGAAACTCTTGATACTCCTGATATTCTTTCTAAATTTAGGAAATCGCAAACGTATGATTCCTACAATGATCTTAAAATATACTCTAAGGCCCATATCGTCAGTCGTCCCTACAATTGTAGGGCGCGTTTATGGCCTCCTCAATTGTCATACTCTTTTCTCTCCTTCAAAAATTTCTAGATTACACTCGTCCCGTGTCAGCGTCAGCGCTCTCCGATTGTTAAGATATGTTTTCCTTTTAAATTGTAGGAAATTTCAGGCTGATAAATCATGATAAAACTCAAAAGCAGCACAATTTGATGCAAATAGATGTTTGTGACATAACCTCAAAATAGAGCGCTGACACGGAGAAGTAGAAAACTATGACAATCAAGGAGGCCATAAACGCGCCCTACAATTGTAGGGACGACTGACGATACGGGCCTAAGACTTGATCATCATAAATATTTTCTTGTGAAAACGACAAATGACACTGGGAACAGTGCTGCTAGGTCAATTTCTTTTATTATAACCATTGGTTAACATATTGCCCAAGAAGATTATACCCTATTTCACGAGTATCCATCACAGTAGAATGACAGCTGATTATCTCATAATATCTCAAAATTCCCCATATTGGCACAGAACACATAATTCTAACGGATCCGTCAACGTCAGGTAGTCAGAGCCGTATTTTGTTTTGTTTTTTTGTACGCTACAGATTCATTTTGTACTTGCTAACAGCTCTTTTATTTAGAAAAGTTCATATGCATACAAAAAACAAAACACTACAATTAAGTTTTACTAGATTTACACCCAATTCTTCACTGTTCACCTCAGTAGACGTCAAAGCGTGATGGATACTCGTGAAATAGGGTATATGACGTCCATTACATGGTCACAAGTACATGTGTCAAGTAACAGTATTTCCGCTAAAAGTAATAAAAACCGACCCCATTTTAGTTAAGATTTTTTTTATGTTTTTAAACATTACATCAACCGTCCAAGATAATTATTCCTAACGTTTGTTGCAAAATTTTTGCGGCAACAGTCCGAGAGATATTATAGTTAAGCATAAGTGGTTGGTAGGTGTAGTTCACGACAGACTTATAGTGTCTTTTTACATTTTGCATCAACGGTCATTAAAAAACAAAAAACCGAGAAGGCTGCTTTGTTTGGAAGGTGCGGGGCGCGGAAAGGAGGTGCGATTTATTTTAGATTATTTAACCTGTATCACAAAGTGGCCATACAATATGCATGCCAATACTATAAAGGATGGAAACAGACACTGTAAGTCTGTCGTGAACTATATCATCATTTTCGCACAGGCACAGTTTTCAATTGAATTGGTTGTTTTCTGATGAAATATGTGAATCCAAGAATGTACTGATTCAATCTAACTCAGTTCATTTTTTTGTCAGGCTATTGATGATGATTGCAACCAAACAGCTCAAATGACGGCAGCTGTTTTAGACTGGCCTCAGGCAACAAATGCGTCCAAAGTAAGTTGACCCAATGCCGAATACGTTTTTCTTTCAATTTCATTGGCTGCATTTCCATTGTAAAACTTAAATACTATAATCAAAATCACGAAAGATGACTATTACGTCATACCATAAATTGTACTGAAGTAATCAATGGACGTACGTCGATGATAAAATGACGATGTCAGGAACATAATGACAACAAATTTCATTATGATTTTGCGAAGTTAGGTTATTTCACTGATTATTTTTATTTTCATTTTATTTGATGGTTTTGAGTGATACCTTAATAATAAGTTTAGTGGCGAGTTTTTGTTTTGAAAAAAACTGTTATGAGTAGAATACCTTTAGACAGGAACACTGAAGACGAAAGTATTACTCGAAAACAACCTAACCTGCTTTAACATAACCTAACTATTCATCTTTCAGATATGATCCATCATGCAACATGAAAACATCGTCTATCTTTGTCAGATACATGCAAATTAGCAATACAGTTTGTTTAGACAATAAAATTCTGTTTGTCTCTGTCTAACATATTTGAAACTTCATTAAAAATATTCACAAATCGCTGTCGTTTGTCTTTACTACAGACTAAAATGATGACGTAGTCGTCATCGTTCGTGATTTCGACTATATAATAGTACTTCAATAGATTCACCGAGTAAAATCTACGTTGCCTTCTTTTAGATTGAAAAAGGAGACAAAGATGTTACAGTAACAAGAGAAATTGATGGTGGTCTGGAAGTGATCAAGTGCAAACTACCTGTTGTTATCAGTGCAGATCTTCGTTTGAATGAACCTCGTTATGCTACACTTCCAAATATTATGGTTAGTATTGTTTATATTTTTACATACATATTGCGTAAAAAATACAACCTGGCACTCATTGCTAACCATTTGTGTGTCAGTAAGGCACGATTAGGATTTTTTTGCTGTACAAAATGTCATTAGGAGGTGGAGCCGTCAAGAATGATTTATATCATATTCTTCTAAACAGTCTAATAGTTAGACTGGATCACACGGGCTTGACACTAGACATACGTGAATCATCTATTTTTAATTTTTTATGTAGAAAGCCAAGAAAAAACCCATAAAAAAAGTGACACCCAAAGACCTGGGAGTTGACACAGCAGCGAGGATCGAAATAGTGTCTGTTGAGGAACCTCCAGTGAGAAAAGGTGGCACCATCATACCCGACGTTGACACTTTAGTAGCCAAACTCAAGGAAGGCGGTTTTGTCCCTTAACTGCGGGTTATCGAAACGGTGAAATGATATGGAGAAAACCAAACAAAATAATTCATAATCGAATAGTTTTCAGTAATCAGGAAGCCTATTTCTGAACCTGCATTTTCAGGGCGTCTGGGCGCGAATTCGCAAGGGAACGCTGTAGACAATACGAAAACCTCGCATGAGTGCGAGACATTTTTCGACTAGATTACGTTTATTGGATGCCCCTTTACATTGCATCAAAATGATTCGGGGCGGTAATCCGTGTAAAAAAATCTCATACGAATCCGAGGTTTTCGCCACATTTATTTTATTCTAGCATTTTAAGTATATTCATAGTTAAGTCAAGCATTTGGTTTATGCCTGCTTGGTTTGCATCATTGCTTCCTGGTTTGTGCATTTCTATTGTGCTGCCAAGATTTCCCATTTTATTTTAACGTACCATCAAGAAACCTGACAATCGATTATGAATTATTGTAATTATCAGTGTACTAGAAAATTCTCATACAATGTTCATGATAATTTCAAGTACAAAATGAACTTTATCGCACAAATCACTATTCATTTTCAATTTGTTAGTTTATATTTATATTTTCAAATATTGATGATTGGAATGTTTTGTAAATATAGTAGGTTTTTCTTAATCTTGGATGTTTTACTTCCCTGAATATATTCTCGCATGTTATTGGCTTATCGAGAGGATGGGATACGGGCGGGAAATAGCGATGTTGTCAGACAGTGCATGAAATGGAAGTACGAGGGAGGTCCCAGAAGTACCCGGCCTGACCTAGAGATGGCGAAAAATATCATTGTATTAGAAAGTATGCAACCTATAAAGCACGTTGTTTAGTATAAGTTTGGCAGCCATCAATACTGAACGTTTTCAGTGAAAATGGAGAAAATTGGTCATCGTTATATGGTACAATACTTTTATTTCAAAGGCCTCAGCCCAACCAATATAGCTGAACTGGATTGTACTCTGGGTGAGGAACTGGATTGTACTCTGGGTGAGTCTGCTCCTTCGTTTACAACAGTAAAATATTGGGTAGCAGAGTTTAAACGAGGCCGTACGAGCTGCCAAGACGAGCATCGCAGTGGTCGATCAAATGAGGTGACGACTCCAGAAATGGTGAAGAAAATTCACAAAGCGGTACTGAATGATCGTCGACTGAAAGTGCGCAAGCTAGCAGGCATAGTAGGCATTTCAAAAAGTGCGGTTCATCGCATATTATCTGAAAATTTGGACATGAGAAAGATGGGTGCCGCGATTGCTCACAATCGGACAGAAACAGTGTCGTGGAGATGTTTCAATTGAGTGTTTAGCGAAGTTTCACAGCAACAAAGCAGAATTTTTGCGTCGTTTCATAACGATGAAACATGGGTCTATCACTTCACACCCGAGACAAAAGAACAATCAAAACAATGAACTCAAAAGGGACAACCGGCTCCAAAGAAGGCGACGACCGTTTCATCTGCAGGCAAGGTTATGGCGTCGGTTTTTTGGGATGCGCGTGGGATAATTTTCATTGACTATCTTGAAAAAGGTAAAACTATCAACGGCGAGTATTATGCGAACTTATTGCAACGTGCGTGAGCGATAAAATCATCCAAAAACGGTCGCATTTGGTTAAGAAGAAGTTGTTGTTTCATCAAGACAATGCACCAGCTCACAAATCCGTTACTGCAATGGCCAAAATTAACGAATTTAAGTTTGAATTGCTACCTCATGCACCCTATTCACCAGATTTAGCCCCCTCGGATTATTTTCCAAACTTGAAAAAATGGCTCACTGGTCAAAGATTTTTCAACGATGAAGAAGTGATGTCGGCAGTTAATGGCTATTTTGAGGAGCAAGACAGTTCTTATTATAAAAAGGGTATCGAACTTATTAAACATCCCTGGGAAAAGTGTACAGAGCTGAAAGGCGATTATGTTGAAAAATAATTAATTTTTTACAAAATTTTTGTTTTCTTCGTTGGGTCGGGTACTTCTGGGACCACCCTCGTATGTTTCAAATTCGACGCTCCCCATTAGATAAGACCTACCCTGATGACCTCCATACTTTTGAATCGCTCAAATTAGTTCTTGGCCCAAGTCCGCCATTTTTTCAATAAAATCCGGGCGTAAATTAGCAGGTTGTTCGGAAAGTTATTGCGGTTTTGTAACATTTAAATTGTGGAAATTGAAGTTTACAATTGGTTGCCTACGCTTTTACACTTTGCATTCACCGGTCAAGTCCTGGACTTGGCTGGTTTTTGCACAGTGCTGTCAGTGTAATTCAACACAGGTACCCTGAACCGGGACAAAGTTAACTTTGATGCCATGGAAATACAGAAAAGAACGCACGAGAAAATATATTTGCCGCAAGAGTACTCAAAGATTATTGAAAATGCAAAAAACAAGACGTCCATGTAGCGCAGGATGTATTTTTGAATTTCAAGGCCCATTTGCAACAGTTGTTTGTAAAGAATCCTTCAAGGAAGAACAAAAAATTTACAATTACAAAATAACCCCTGACTACAACACTACAAATAATACAAAAACAATAATATTGTGAATGAAGAAAGCTAACGAAAAATAAATTTGATCACGTTATCAATTCGACTAAAAACTATGTGCCACAGTGTGATTAGTGGTTTTATAAAGAAATCAGAAAATACCATCAAAGCCTTTCGCTAGAGATGAAACTTCCGCATCAGTATTTAGTGAAGATGCATAAAAGAAAATATTTGAAGTTTGTATCAAAAGTTAAATTAAACCATGCATTAGTTTATTTCATTCAGTTAGTTAACAAAAAATAACAGTTTTAACGTCAAAGTTTGTTTTATTTTATTTACTTTTTTCCGTTAAAAAAATTAAAAAGCTTTGCATAAACCAGACAAGTCCATTAATCTTTCGCTCATAGCTCAGTTTTTTTTAATTACAGATAGATATATTTAAAAAATAATGCAGCAGAACTATCTGCTATTAACAAATACGAAAATTTTCAGTAATTAAAAAATGTACATCAAAAATGTTTTCTTATGTTTCCTCGTTTATGCATTGGACCCAGCTGGGAATCTGAAGGCTTTTTATGCTGATTATCAATTACCAACGTTGGAAGAAGTGTGCAGTTAGGCGGGGAGACTATTAAAGAAAAACAACGAATATTTCAACTAGAATCAATTTAATTTAATAAGAAAGCATCTTTATAAAAGTTAACCTATGTTCTTTTCCGCATCAGAATGCTTTAACATATGACTAGCCAATTTATTTTTCGCGGTAGTTTTGTAAGTACAATATATACATTCGTGGATTTTACTGGAAACTGATGCAATATATTCCGGATGTTTCTTAATTATATGATAATCTAAATTTACCTTACTTGTTAATGTCGTGTTACAGTGAATACACACATTAGGCTTATAACTAATATCTGCACCAGGATGTTTCAATATATGCCTACAAAACATATCTTTGAAGGTAGTTTTATATGAACAATATGTACATTCATGGACTTTACTTGATACTGATTCAATATACTCGGGATGTTTCTTAATTATATGATCATCTAAATTTGGCTTATGCTTGAATGTTGCGTTACAATAAATACACGTTTTAGGCTGGCAACTCACGCCTGCCCCTGTATGCTTCCCCATATGTTTAGATAAATGGGTTGTCGAGATTGTTTTAAACAGACAATATTGACATGCATGTATTTTACTTGATACAGATGTAATATACTCGGGATGTTTCTTAATTGTATGATCATCTAAATTTGATTTATTTCTGAATGTCCTGTCACAGTGAATACACACACTGAGTCTATAGCAAGTATCTGCATCAGGATGCGTGAACATATGCCTAGTAAACTCCTTTTTGAGGGTAGTTTTATAGTTGCAATGTATGCATTCATGGATCTTACTTGAAACTGATATAATATACTCAGGATGTTTCTTTATTATATGATCATCTAAATTTATCTTATATTTAAATGTTGCATTACAGTGAAAACACACATGATGCTTATGACTTCCTTCTGCTATAGGATTTTTCATTATATGATCATTCTCATCTTTGATAATGTATTCCTCAGTGATTTCTGAAATCCCACAAGTCTCCAAGTCATTTTCCAATTTCAATTCTTCAACAGCTTCAGATTTTATTGGGGATTTAGTGAAATCATACTCAGTTGTTGTGCTAAAATACGCCAATATAGTATTAGGTTTTTTGCCTTAAGGTATCCATCACGTTTTGACGTCTACTGAAGTGAACAGCTGATCAGCAAGTGACATCCGTAGCATACAAACAACCAAAATAAAATAAGGCTTTTCTACCTGGTGTTGATGGATGTCAGAATTCTGTGTCGTTTGTCAATATGGGGAGTTCTGAAATATTACTAGATAATCAGCTGTTATTCTACCATAACGGATACTCATGACAAAGACATTATTTAATGAGTATGATAAAGTATAGTTGTGGTCACAGTTCTTGGCGATTACGTCATCAACGCCATATGACATAATGAGTAAACAGATCGAGCCTCCGTACCATGGGCGCAGACTAATTTTCAGCGCATCTGCTACTCTCTCCAGTACGCATGAAGAGGGTAACAGGCACCGCTGTTTTCATTCTCTTCCCGGAAGTACTCAAATAAATTTAGCACGAGTTGTCGGCCTTCTCCATTGATCGTATTTCCGGGCATTGTACAATTTTATATCGAAGACTGATAACAGGACAACTCATATTGCACGCTGATCTCAAGTAAGTTATCACTCTGACAAATATGATTGAAGTGCACTCATACGTAACGACAAGGTTTTCGAGACGGAGACACAACAAAAAACGTATGTCTTTGAGCTTACCGAACAAACGTTCATACACAGGGGTAGGTTACATGTGTATGTATGAGGGAGATGGAGATATATAAAGGGATACTTGTAGTCTTACTTTGTCCCGCCAAGAACGGTGACTACAACTATAAAACCTTTGGAATGAACATTTCCATTATTGCTCAAAAACAAACTTTTAAACAGTACTTGATACACTATACAATTTACTTGAATTTAATAACTCTGACCAATATGAAACTCTCTGGGAATAAGAATGTCTCTAAATGAGACAAAAAGTTCACTTCAAGTTTCTCAGATAAAATGATTTGGTTGTTAATGATTCTTTAAAATACATATTAATTAGTAAAGTTACAGCATGTGTCTATCTAAAAATTCGTCCTTTCTATGCAGATTGCTTGTTGGTGGATAAAGAGAAATTAGGTAATTGCATCAAGGAATTTCTGTACTAACGCTACTGATTGCTAATCTATGGAAATTTGAATATTCAATATAAAATGTTGCAGCTCTTCTTTGCTATATAGTAGTAAATATAAGATGGCTTTGACAGTTTCTCACCAGTTGTCACTTAACTGTCAGTTTTTATAGTTCATTAAAACTTTCTGTAACTTTGAATTCATCGACATACTTTTGCGAATCTATTTCTTCTTGCATTTTGAGAACTCCGTCACTGGCCACATCAAATCTCATGACAGTGGGGCCAAAATTTGAGATTGTAGATGCATTATAGATTCTGAAACAATTCAAATATAGTAACAGTTTCAAAGCAACAGACTTTGAAGAATCACCTATCTGAAACAGTGTCTGAAGCATCTGAGCCAATACATTGACCATACTCATCTTTTATAAATACAGGAATGACTATGAATTCTTTACTATCCAAGTCATTTTCCACCTTTATTTTTCCTTTTTCTATCTCTGAAACTTGCTCTTTTTCACTTTTAATATGTTCTCGGGTCATTTGGGTATCTTCAAGTTTTTTTTCCACATTCATAACGGGAACTTTTTTCAACAACCCCTTTACACCAAAAACATAACAAAAACAAAAGATAGTGTTCAGGGTCAAGTAACCAGTGACGATAGCTCAAAACATAAATCAAATTCAAGCGGATAACCAAATGGAAATGGTATTTACCATTTTGGGTTGGTATTTACCAATCCGTTCAAGGGAGTGTAGTTATCAGTTTGGTTATAAGATCCGTGACGTCACGAATCAGCTGTTATATGTCATAGTTATCACCGCAAAATTGTGGTATTTACCCAACTCAAGAGTAGTTTTATATTTCTGGTTATTATTTGAAATGTGACAAGTTAGAATTTTGCCGGGTATTGGATATTGTTATTGTACTTCAGCTTCATTTTTGAGAAAAATGATACAGGCTGACTTCACTTTTACCATAAAGTGGAGCACCTTATTAGTTATACTCATTACGGTTGTTGGGGACACTTTAAATGTAGTTCCTATGCTTAACAAAGTATCCTGTGTAGCCATATACCACAAGAATATTAAAATATGGCCATATAAACTCACTAGATGATATCCACCTGTATACGGTTTTGCTAATTTCTTTTTTCATCATTTCTGCTGAATCAATAAATGTTTTCTTTGACATGCGGAAAATTTAGAGAATTGAAAGTTATCATAGCTACAAAGCCATGGTTCCATCACTAAAAAAAAACTGAAAAAAACATTTCTCCCATGAATATTATGAAAGGTTTCTTATTTAAACTTTCCATATACAGTTGTAGACGAAAAAGCACCGATTATTAAGTGATAATAAAAGTAATCAGAGATTATATACGCGCTTTTCTAAAATAAACAACTTGCAACAAAACCGCGGTTAAAACCAACGCGTTCAAGCGATTCGTGTAACTGACGTCATCAACCCGTGTGTCATCTTGAACCATATTATAACCGCGGCACATAACACAGAAATTTTGGTTATTCGCTTGGATTTGATTATATTATACTGACGTATGACGTAAGAGCCACAAAAAATACACGTAATGGCAAACGAGAGATGAGCACATGACGTCGAAGTTGACAACTCACCTGCGTCTACGCCACAGAAGTGAGCAGGCAGTGTTGCCAGATGAGGTGAAAGCCTTCTGAAAAATACAAATGTTAACAATTCAAAACCTTGTCCTTTAATTCAGTCCGCCCTTAACTTTTGCATATTTTTGGGATTTGTGTTGGGAATCAACACCTCCCGGGGACGGAAAAGGAAAATCATAATAAGAAAATACATGTACCATCAAAGTGTTTTATTTATTATAACAGAAGGATTATATAAAAATATCATCTACGTTCTACGTATAGACTATAGATAACACTTTAATGAAACTGGGCCAGTAAATGAATTTATACTCACAATGTGTGCATCCATTATATTTTACAAGAAACTTTAGAAATAATTAGAATCTTTCTTGATCCCAATATTGCAAATATAAACATTCATGTTCCTATGCGCAGTCCCTCCTAAAATATTCTCGCCACAGACTTTATTTGAAGCATCTATTGCTCTTTTGAATACGGTAATTTTGCATTAGTAATCTCTCTTGAACATTTTTTCATCACCTTTGACGAAAAATTGCTTTAGGTATTTGAGCTAAATTAATTATAAATGTGACAGTAGGTGATATGGAATGTTTCCAAATTCGAATGTAGCGACCACAGTAGAGACAGATTAAACATGTACGGTTGCCTAGAACAATTATTTCAATACATAACACACAAGACAACATTCACCTCACAGTTGACTGTATATCAATATTTTCGTCAATGATTGTTAGTGCTACCGAAATTCCATTATTAAACCCTGTAAGGTGTCCAGTGAAAATTCGGCACGTTTTGCCACGGTGTTTTGACATTACGAAATTCAAGTTGTTTATCAGTCAGATAAGCAACCAAAAGTGTTTTGACAACACCAGACCAATAACATAACATACATTGATCGAGGTGCTCTGAATAGTCAAAGGTTATCCACCTTACAGGTAAAACAGATGCTTGTGATCGTCAAATATATGAATCAATTCGTTTAGTCCTTGTCCAGACTCCAACGCATTCCATTTTTTTTTTCAATAAATTGGCATATATTGCTGATCTTGGTGCCTTGATGAACCTGAATGGTGGAAACGTGACGAAAATTTTTTATAACTGTTTTGAAAAAAATTGCAACATTGGAAGAAGTGTGCAATTAGGCGAAAAACTACAGAGGTTTCAACCAGAACCGTTTTTCAATTTTTTTTCTTTTGAAGGGCTTGTTTAAATTTGATCCATCTTGGTTCTTTCAGCATCAGAATGCTTCAACATATGGCCAGCCAGCTTATTTTTTGCGATGGTTTTATAAGTACAATATATACATTCATGGAATTTACTTGAAACTGATGCAATATGCTCGGGATGCTTTCTGATTATATGACCATCTAAATTTATCTTACGTTTAAATTTCAGATTACAGTGAATGCACGTTTTAAGCTCATAGCCTCCTGCCCCTGGGTGGTTTACCATATGTTTAGATAAATGATCTGATGTGGTGGTTTTAAATGGACAGTGTCTACATTCGTATATTTTACTTGAAACTAATGTAATATACTCGGGATGTTTCTTAATTATATGATTGTCTAAAGTTGTTTTAAGTCTGAATGCCCCATTGCAGTGAACACATTTATTAGGCTTATAGTCACCTTCTGCTGCTGGATGTTTCAACATATGTTGAACCAAACTTTTTTTAACGGTAGTTCTAAATGCACAATGTGCACATGCATGTATTTTGCTAGAAACCTCAGCAATAAAATTGGGATGTTTCTTAATTATGTGATCATGTAAATTTTTCTTGCATGCGAATGTTGTGTTACAGTGAATACACATTTTAAGCTCACAGCCACTTTCTGCCTCTGGATGCTTCCTCATATGCCTAGATAAACTAGTACTTGAAGTGGTTTTAAATACACAATATTTGCATTCATGTATTTTACTCAAAACAGATGCAATATATTCTGTATGTTTCTTAGTTATATGATCATCTAAGCTTATCCTATCTTTGAATATTGCATCACAGTGAATACACGTTTTAAGTTGATAGCCACCTTCTGCCCCTGGATGCTTGCCTAAATGTCTAGCTAACCGATCTTTTATGGTGGTTTTAAATGCACAATATTTACATTCATGTATTTTACTTGAAACCAATGCAATATACTCTGGATGTTTCTCAATTATGTGATCATCTAAATTTGTCTTATATTTGAATGTTGCAGTACAGTGAACACACAGTTTGCGTTCACAGCCACCTTCTGCCCTTGGATGCTGCCACATATGATCAACTAAAAGACCTTTTATAGCAGTTTTAAATACACAATATTTGCATTCATGTATTTTACTTGAAACTGATGCAATATACTTTGGATGCTTCTTGATTATGTGATCATCTAAATTAGCCTTACGTTTAAATTTAACATTACAGTGTACACACTTTTTAAGCTCATAGTCACTTTCTGCTTCAGGATGTTTCAGCATATGTTGAACTAAACTTTTTTTAATGGTGGTTCTATATGTACAATGTTTACATGAATGTATTTTACTAGAAACCTCAGCAATATACTCGGGATGTTTCTTAATTATATGATCATTTAAATTTGGCTTATGTTTGAATGTTCTCTTACAGTAAATACATGTTTTAGGTTCAGAGACATCTTCTGCCTCTGGATGCTTCCTCATATGTGTAGATAAATTACTTGTTATAGTAGTTTTATAAATACAATATCTACATTCATATATTTTATTTGAAACTGATGCAATATGCTCAGGATGTTTCTTGATTATATGATCATCTAAACTTCTTTTTCCTCTGAATGTCACATTACAATGTATACAGACATTAAGCTGATGCCTTCCTTCCCCCCCAGGATGTTTCAAAATATGATCATCATCATTTTTAATTATGTATTCCTCAGTGATTTCTGTAATTCCATAAGTCTCAATGTTCAAGTCATTTTCTATTTTCAGTTCCTCAACAGCTTCACATTTTGTCCATTTTGCTGTGCTAAAATAATATAATATAAACTGCAGCATTTCGAAGATATTTGTTACATATTAGGAGATATGAATCATGCAATTCTAATATTCTAAGTTTGAACCTTGAAACACCATGTGACTAACAAGAGTAAAACAGGATGAAACCTTTGAAATGAATGTATTCAAGGTTACTTAAATCCATTAAACTATTCAGCAGTCTACATCATTTGAAATTCCTGAAAGGAAGCAGATCAATTTTTTCTGATATAAGTAATTTTGTTTGTAATGAATTGTTGATTTTTTAGAATACACAGTAACCGGCCAAGTTGAAGTGTGAATCTAAAGATAAATCCATTTGATGTAGAGCGCCTGTTCGTGACAATGACAAATGAGAATTTAACAAAAATTGTGAAATTTGTATCACATACATTTGGAGAAGAAACTACATCTAATGCGCTATTAAATTCTATGGAAGTGTATACATGTACATACAGCTGCTTAGAATTGAATATAGAATAATCACCTGTTTAAAACAATTTCTGTGTTTAAATTTGAGAATGTTTGTTCATCAATCTCGTTTTTAATAGCCAGTTGTTTGTCAGAACTTTCTGAAAGACTGCCTATCTCTACATCATTTTGCAACTCTATTTTTACATCTTGCATATTTAAAACTGATTCACTGGCTTCTTCAAACCTCATGTAAGAATTATCAAAATTTGCTTTTGTATCACATGTATTATAGATTCTAAAACATTTCAGATAAAAACGATTTTTACAAAATAGCTGATTTGGAAGAATCACCTATCTGAAACAATATGTCCTGCATATGTACCAACACATTGACCATACTCATCTTTAATAGATGCATGGTATATTTGAGTGTCTTCAAATCCCTTTCTGTCCAAGTCATCTTCCACTTTTATTTGATGTCTGTCTTTTTCTGAAACTTCATCTTTTTCACTTTTAATATGTTCATGGGTCATCTGTGCGACTTCAAATTCTGTACTGTCCAAGGGGTTTTCTGGTTCCATTTTGTCTTTCTATACACATAACGGAGAACTTCCTCAACCTCTATACGCCACAAAAATCGTAAGGAAGGCAAAACAAAAACACGTCCAAGTCCAAACCAAACCACTAAACAGGGAAGAGTCGAGAGTCTGCACGGTTAACATGTTGACAAGTCACTTACCCACCTTCGCCTGTGGCGAGCACGCAGCGTTGCCAGGTCTAGTATTATTTTTCATATTATACTCGGTGACATTAGAGGTGTTACACCCAGAAAAAATAATTTCTTCAACATTAGGATGCAGAATGACATATGAAATCTTCAGCGATGAATCGCGATTCTGTCTAGGTACGCACGAGACATGTACACAGGAGTGTTGGAGTAATGGTTTGGGGGGCTACTGCCTATGGTAGCAGCTGATCACTCCTCTTTGTTCAAGACAATATGACTGCTGCTCGTTATGTGGATGATGTCCTACAAACGACTTTACTGCCGAGTCTACATCCTTTTTCAGCAAAACAACGCGCGTCCCATATTTCTCGTCGTACTACGGACGTTCTTCAAGAAACAGGCGTTAATGTTTTGCCGTGCCCATCCCGTACACCGGATTTAAATCCCATCGAACATGTGTGGTATATTATGGGGAGGAGACTATCCACTTTACACCATCCGCCACGACCAGGCATCGATCATCTCATTTTATCGATGCTTAGACGTATCCAGGAGTGTATTCAGCTGTTATCGTTCCATTTTTGATGTAAGACCTCATTGCCAATAAATCAAGTTGAAGAAATTATTTTTTCTGAGTAAGACACTTCTAAGGTCGCCAGGCAGCAGCGGTAACATTGGAATCGTATGTTATTAGGTCAAGTGGCAGAACAGCACTATATCTCCTAAACGTCTCCCATATTAAAGACGGTTATCATCGTAATTATTAAAATCCACTGTTCTGAAATCAAGAACCGGTTCAAACTAGCCAGAGCTGCTTTTCAATGGAGCTTGGCTTGAGAGTGGTATGCACTACCGAGTTACTCACAGCAACTCAACATGGTCACTGGAAAGCAGCTCTGGTAGCCAATACCCGATGGCGCCAAACCTATAACCCCCTACGCATATTTTTTGTGTGTAAATTCTGACTTTTGATCCCGGGAACAAAAGCAGAGCTGCCCTTGGGCCTACGCCTCCACTCGGGCCCAGGAATCAGATACCATAAAGCTTTTGAATTTTCCATGTCTGGTTAGTATGGTATCAGGGTTATCAGCTATGAGAAAGAGGGGGGAAAAGAAGAAGGAAATTACAATACATGTATTTCAAATAGTTCTTTATTATTACCATAATAGATAACTAATCTAGATATCATATCAGTCAATATCAACATTACCACAATACGGATGTATATGGATGCATGCCTTTACTAGAAACAATAAAGTCGTTTCTTAATTATATAATTTGCCTTTTCTTATTCCTGCATGGAACCTTACAGAGATAGCTATACCCTATTTCACGAGAATCCATCACGCTTTGACGTCTACTGAGGTGAACAGTTGATCAGTAAGTGACATTTTTGTGTTAGTCTGCAAATGGCTTTTCTAAATAAAAGAGCTGTTAGCAAGTACAAAACAAAGTACGGCTCTGACTTCCTGGCGTTGACGGATGCGTCAGAATTAGGTGTCCTGCGACAATATAGGGAATGTTGAGATATTACTAGATAATCAGCTGTCATCCTACCGTGATAGTTACTCGTGAAATAGGGTATAACTGGGTTTGAAATAAAGGGCTCTTTAGCTGGTTGTGAACATCTAAAACTTATCCTGTAGTTTTAATGCTGATAGTCACCCATGTTTGTCTGACCACGTATGTTTAAAATTCCTCTTTATTGTACTACGTTCCGGTACCAATAGCGACCTTCAGGACATTTTTCAACTATATAATCATCAAAAGATAATTCCACATAGTACTCCTGCTTGAAGGCAGTTTTATAGTTGCAGTATGAGCATTCGTGCAATTCACGTGAAATTGATGCGACATGCTCAGAATGTTGTTGAATTTAGCTTTTTTCTGAATGCTTACAGCTATTATCTGCAGGATGTTTCAACATATGCTTAGTAAACTTACTCTTTAAGGTAGTTTTATACGTGCAATATATGCATTCATGAACTTTCCGTGAAACTGATGTAATATACCCAGGATGGTTCTTAACAATGTGATCTTCTAAATTTATCTTATATTTGAACGTTGCGTTACAGTGAATACACGTTTTGAGCTCACAGCCAGGTTCTGTCCCAGAATGCTTCTCCATATGACTAACTAAATAACTTTTTAAGGCAGTTTTGAATCTACAATATTTACATTCAAGTATTTTACTTGAAACTGATGCAATATGCTCAGGATGTTTCTCAACTATATGATTATTTAAAGTTTTCTTATGTTTGAACGTAGCAGCACAGTGAATACATGGTTTACGCTCAGATCCAGCTTCTGGCCCAGAATGCTTTCCCATATGACTAGTTAAATGACTTTTCAAGGTAGTTTTGTATACACAATATTTACATTCATATATTTTACTGGCAATTGATGCAGTATACTCGGGATGTTTTTTCATTATATGGTTATCTAAACTTATCCTCTCTTTGAACATTGCATTACAGTGAATACATGTTTTAAGCTCACGACCACCTTCTGCCCCTGGATGCCTGCCCATATGTCTCACTAAAGAAATTTTCAAGGCAGTTTTAAATGCACAATATTTGCATTCATGTATTTTACTGGAAACTGATGCAATATACGCAGGATGTTTCTGAATTATATGATCATCTAAACCTATCTTACATTTGAATGTTGTCTTACAGTAAATACACGTTTTAAGCTTACAGCCACTTTCTGCCCCTGGATGGTTCACCATATGTTTAGATAAATAGCTTGATGAGGTGGTTTTAAATGTACAGTATTTACATTCATATAGTTTACTTGTAAGTGACGCAATGTACTCAGGATGTTTCTTAATTATATGGTTATCTAAACTTATCCTCTCGGTGAACATTGCATCGCAGTGAATACACGTTTTAAGCTCACGACCACGTTCTGCCCCTGGATGCTTGCCCATATGTCTGACTAAAGAAATTTTCAAGGCAGTTTTAAATACACAATATTTGCATTCAAATATTTTACTTGAAACTGATGCAATGTACTCAGGATGTTTCTTAATTATATGATCATCTAAATTTGTCTTACGTGTGAATGTTGTGTTGCAGTGAATACACACACAGCCACTTTCTACCTCTGGATGCTTCACCATATGTTTACCTAAATTTGATTTTACACAATATCTACATTCATGTATTTTACTAGAAACACCAGCAATAACGTCAGGATGTTTTCTGACAATATGATCATCTAAACTGCTTTTTCCTCTGAATGTCACATTACACTGACTACAGGTATTCAGCTTATGGATTCCTTCTGCTTCACAACATTTCAAAATATGATCATCCTCATTTTTAATCATGTATTTCTCAGTGAGTTCCGTAAATCCATGGGTCAAACTGTTTTCTAACCTCAACTCCTCAACAACTTCACATTTTATCCAGGGTTTGGTGAAGACATGCTCATTTTCTGTGCTAAAACATAGTAATAAAGACATTAAGGGTATTCTGGTGATGAAGGACTCTTGAATTAGAACAATAAGTAGCTGTTACAGATCTAGGATCTCTGGGGCCCCCAAGCATAAAGTTTACATGGACCCCTGCAGGTGATAGCTGAAGAGGGGAACATACATTTTGTCTAAGTCCGTTGAACCCTGAGCCCAAAGCAAAGTGGGTCATCTTAGATCGCCCCTCTGATAAGCAGGATATGTAGCTCAAGTATAACAAAAAGTTAAAGAATCTAATGAAGTATTCAACATCTTCAAGGTGGTTAAAATCCATCATTTTAAGCAGTAATTTAACAATTAACTTATCTGACACCCTCCTGAAAATGCCTCTAAATCCTATAAAAGGCCCATTTCAAATTTGATATAACTGATTTGGTTTTTAATGATTCCTTAAATTACACATACACACTCATTATTTCGCGCCGAAAATCATGTGGCGTTAAAGAAACTAAGAAACCACAGCAAAATCATCGGAGTGAAATGGTGACGTGTCATAGCTATTCCATGGCTACTACTATTTAGCTTAAAAGTGCCACACTCCAAGTTGGATTATGCTTCCAATGTAAATGGGCACTATCTAACATGTAATAATCACCTTATTGAAACGTCTTCATTTTCACTTTTAATAATCACTTGGTCAAAACTTTCTGTAACTTTGCACTCATTATTACCCACATCCTTTTGCAACTCTATTTGTTCATTTTCCATTTTGACAATTTCTCTCATCTCTTCATACCTCTTGAAAGTGTGCATGTATGCACTATAGATTTCAGACGACGGATAACAACTTTACTAAACAACTGGTTTTGTAGTCGCATAAGGGAAACAGTGTCTCCATCATCTGTATAAAGATCTGCATCAATTGATATTTTATTTCTTCTTTCTGTACCTTAGAAACTTCTTTCTCACTTTTAATATGACCATGGATCATTCTGATGACCACCAATTGTTTCTTCCTGGGGACTTATAAACATTCGTAAACCGCAAAAACAACAAAAACTTCGCCATTCGCCAGGATGATCGACTGAAATGAACATAAGATTCTATGTCATATGTCATACATAAATGTAGGATCCACGAGAATCCAACGGAATAGATACTTCGTATTTCATGTTCTGTGTCATCCGTGCGTGACAAATTGTCACTACAATGGTTTAAAAGCCCTTCAAATTTTAAACTTCCAGGATTATGACACAAGTAACTACTTTTGTAGTTTTAGGTGCTAATTTACTCTCGTATATAAATTATTGGTCCGAGTAAAGATAACATGGCCACGCAAGACAACTGTTGAAATGTTTTCTACTAGACTCTAGAAGACTATCCGTAGCAAAATGTTTGCCTAAATCGTTGCACAACACTTAAAAAGATGTAAATGGAAATTGCCGCTTCATGTTCTAAAGGACTCCGTCGGTATCCCGGGATAGACATCCGTCTTGACAAATGACCTTGTCACTCTTGCCACCTAGATTGCGGCGTTGCCAACTCATTGGACGATTTTGCTACCTCTGCTATTTTGGTATAATGTTATAAAAAAGA